GGTTAGGACTGAGAGGTGTCTGTCTGCCCCTACATTTTTATCCATATTTTGGGGGGAAGCTGTGCTTTGGCTGTTCTTGTTGTGATTACATATTTCTCTGTTTGTGGACTGCTTCGTTGCCTATATTCTGTTCTTGTTGGTTTTCTATGTGTAGAGCGGCTTTGAGGATTTTTTGGAGAGCTGGTTTGGTAGAGATATATTGCTTCAGATTTTCCTTGCTGTGGAAGGGTTTTATTTGTCCTTCTGCTATGAATGAGAGCTTAGCTGGGTAGATTATGCTTGGTTGGTAGTTATTTGACTTTAGGGCATGGCATACCTCTTTCCAGGCCATCCTTGCTTTTATGGTGTCTGTGAGAAGTCTGAGGTGATTCTGATTGGGTTACCTTTATATATGATTGTTCTCTTCTCCCTGACAGCTTTAAGAATTCTTTCTTTAGAGGCTATTGAGCCGGTATGCATTATAATGTGGCAGTGGGATGACCTGTTCTAGTCTGGTCTATTTGGGGTTCTAAAAGCTTCTTGTATTGGATGGGCCTGTCCTTTTGTATATTTGGGAAGTTCTCTGCTAGGATTCTGCTGAATATATTTCCTAATCCAATGGCTTCCCTCTCCAGGCCCTCCTGTATACCTATTGTTCTCAAATTAGGCTTTCTGAATATATCCTGTATTTCCTGCAGTGATCTTTCATGCTTTTAGTTTTGTTATGAATAATTGTGTGCTCCTTCTCTATGGAGTATAAACTGTCTTCAGCCCCCAATATTCTTTCTTCGGCCTCCTCCATTTTACTATGAAGGCTTTTTACTTTGGTGTCTATCACCTTTGCTTCTTGCTGGTCTTTCTTAATGGTGGCCAGCTCCTTATTAAGGTTTTCTAAGTCTTGAATAGATTGCCTTACCTCCTGGAGTTGGTTCTCAGACTTTTCTTTCCACTCCTTAATCTGGGTTCCTATCTTTTCATTAGCTGCTTTCTCCTTCTGCTGGAGTTCCTTTATCTTTTTATTTGTGGAGGCCATGAAGTCATCTATTAGCTTCTGGTTGGCCTCATCACATTCTCTAATAACCCTATGCAAGGCGTCCAATTTTTCATTCAGCAGGTTTACCAGCCATGCTTTTAATCTATGTTGAGCATTATCCTCTAGGTTATTCTGGGACTGCTCTGTAGCTTGTTGATGTAGAGATGGTGTTGGTATTTGTTGATTGGCCATGTTCCTTGTGTTTCTGTGGTTAGTTCTCTCCATTTGGAGACAAGAACCACACTGGTACAACAGTAGGACTGGAGCCAACCTGGAGTTGTGTAGATGTATAGATCTGAGGGTTTCAAAGTTATGTATAGGTGTTTTCCTACTTAGCTCTCTTTTTCTTTGCTTGGAGAGGGATATTGTGGCTTCAGGGTTGGGATTTGAGACAACTTGGGTTTGGCTGATAAGTAAACTGCTCCTTAGAGTTAACAAGATGGGCTTCTTATACTCAAAATAGTCAAATGGAACCAATTTTATGGTCAAATATAGAACGAACTTGTAAGTTGGTCCAGATATAAACCATTAGGGATCAATGGACTGGTGCAGATGGAGAAGTAAAGGGTTAGGATTGGTTCAAGTTCAGAAGAGAACTTAGGTATAATGATAGTAGAGGGGTAAGAACAGCTTAGGGGAGGGGTATACGTAGTAGGAAGAGAATAAAGACCTTGTTACCAAGTGTAAGAGGTGGAAAAGAACTCGAAGGAAGGTTATGTAGGGAGTAGCTTAGAGATCGAGATGAAGGTAAGAAAAAAAGTTATATGTAAGTGCATTTGGGGGACTTGTTGAGATTAGAGAAATATTATTCAGATATTATTGGAGAGTTGCTTAATCTCAGTTAACTCCTGTAATTATTGTTTACACACATAGAAGGAGGCCTTACTTTGTGTATAGAACTAAGGAGGGTAGCTCTGATGGAGTAGAAGTATAATGTGGAGAGAAAGGAGAAGGGGAGAGTAGGAGGAAAAGAAAGAAGAAAAGAAAAAGAAAAACTCTACAACTTAGGAAATTGGAAAGTGGGAGAAAAAAACAATAATGAAAAACAGAAGCTTTAAGTGGAATAGCAAATCCTAAATCACAATACAAATAAGTAACACATAGAAATAAAAACAAACAACAGAGATAAAAACTAACAAAACAAAACAAAAACAAGAACAAAAAGCTAAAGAATGGGTTTTTCGGGTTCTTTGGGGGAGCTTTAGTCTCCCCGTAGTCACAGAGCAGATTCCTGATAGAACCTTCTATGCCTTGCTGTAGTCCACTTTCCGTGTGGCTTGGTTGGGGGCAGATGGCCTTTTGAAGGGAGAGGCTGCCTCCTGTCTATAGTCTCCCTCTCAGGCTTGGTGGGAGGGAGTTTTGGGGGTTTCAGGTTTGTAGACTATCATAGGCCTGGAGCTGTGCTCCCAGGCTTTCCCAGGTAGCCACAGGAGCCTTAGGAACAGAGCTTATGTCCCTGTTCTGTTCTGGTATGATCCCTCCATTTTGGATGGGGGCTTGGGTCAGAGGGCTTTGGGATCCCACAGGGAATTGCCACCCAGGGAGTGGACCCAGCTGGGTTACTCACGAAGTCTGTAGCTGGTGGTGCGCTGGACCACACAGCCTGTGCTGTGGCCGGTAGGATGGAGTTGGCGGGCTCTCAGTCAGAGGGTCAGATGCAGGTGGAGGGGGGGTGGCTCTGCTGATGCTGAAGGGTCTCCTCTGTGGCAGCGTGGGGAGTCCTGGCACTGGGGGAGCCCGGTGGAAGTGTTGGCTGAGGGGTCCGTCCTCCTGGTCTGCAGCCGAGGAGGTGGGAGGTGGCCGGCCGGCCGGTGGCCAGCAGCCTTGGGGTGGGCTGCTTGCGGCTGCTCGGTGAGCCTGCGGAGATGCCTGCCGCAGCTTGGTGGTACTATGGCTGTGAGAGCCGGTGTGGAGGGAGCAGGTCCCAGCAGAGGGCCCAGTCAGCAGGGTGGTTGGCCCGTGGACTTACAGCGACGGCTTGGCTGCGGCTGTGCTTTCCTGGGAGCCTTGTGCGGGGTTGGCCGGGTGGGGGCGCAGGGGGACCCCGCCAGCGCTGCAGTCACGGGCTGACTTTGGGGGCCTGCCCGGCGGTGCCAATTTCTGGCGATTGTAGTGGCGGTATTGCTGAGTTTGCTCCTTCCGGGTAGCCGCCCTGGGCCGTTCGCAGGCTCGGAGGTCTTCCCCAGATCCCCTCCTAACTTTCCAGGGGTCGAGGGTTGAGCGCCTTCTTCAGTCTCTGGGTGCCCCTCTGCTTAAAGTCTGCAGAGAGTCCCGGAGCCGCGTGCAGCAGCTGCTCCGCAGGGGTCCCGTTCACTGTCTCTCTTTCCTTCTTACTTGCCTGCGAGGATAGTCCTCTGGTAGTAGAAAAAGTCTTTAGGTATTGAAAGTTTGATTGGAGTAGATCTCTTGAGGTAAAGTGTGACTGTGCCCCTACACCTTCTTTTGGTCAGAGACACGTAGTGGGCCCCCTGTGAGATCACTGCCATCTTCTCCCAAATCGAGAATTTACCTTTTTTTTTTTTTTTTTCGTTGTTGTTGGTTGTGGGGCTTGAACTCTGGGCCTGGGCACTGTCCCTCAGCTCTTCAGCTCAAGGCTAGCGCTCTACCACTTGAGTCACAACACTACTTCCAGTTTTCTGGTGGTTTATTGGAGATAAGAGTCTCATGGACTTTCCTGCCTGGGCTAGCTTTGAACCACAATCTTCAGATCTCAGTCTCCTGAGTAGCTAGGATTATAGGTAGGAGCCACTGGTACCCAGTCATTGCGTTCATTTTGTTCAAGATCTGAAACGGTTATGGTATGTTGAGGATTATGGGATTTAGTGTCTGAATCTGTGATATTTGAGTGTTTGTGTACCATTGGGTAGGTATAACTTTGAAAGGGTGACTTAGCCTCAGTGAGCCTCAGTCTTCTCTTCTATATGATGAGAATACCAATAACATCCAGCTCACGGAATTATTATGGAGATCAATGAGGTAAGTTACTGGAAAGGTTTTTGCTAATTGCCAAAGGAATACAAAATAAAACTCGTGATATATAATTTTTATGATACTATAATACTGATGTGCTACAGAAAAAGTTAAAATTTCACTAATTCAATGACCATTTATTGAACCTGCTGGGCTAGACTCTGGAAAAATAAAGCTGAGTGAAACATGGATTTGGTCCCCCAAGGTAGGAGTGGCCATTGTTTTTCCCTTTTCATGTTTTCACCAAGTGCTTCATTTATTTTCCACCCAAAATATATATTGCATGTGATACCTCCTTCCAGTTTCTATAACTGCTCTTTAGGCTTGGGCACTTATCTCTTGCTTAGGTTATTGCAGCAACCTCTAGAGGGACCTCTTCTGGTTCTATGGTAGCCCAACCTTTCCACCCAAACTCATCCTCTAAACAGCCTCCAAATTGACCTATCTACATCATAGGCTTAACCATGACTTTCTTCTGTTGAAAATCTGTCATTGGCTTCTTGCTGCTGAAAGTGCTGAAAGATAAATACCATGTGTGTCAGTGGTTTGACACATGGCCATGATCCTTAACTCTTAACTTTGTCTCTTAAAAATTCCTTATTTGTCCTTTCTGAGTGGCATCGTCTGACTTACTCAGGCAGTGGACTGTTAATGCTGTTTGCGCTAGATAAAAAAAAATACTATCTGCCACCTCTTCTGCCTGTATGATTTATCTTTTAGGTTACTTGCTCTATTGGCCAAATTTCAACCTCTTGTCTTCAGGTTGAGTTGAGAAAAATGCTTAATAGTAATTCCTGACTTCAGTTGTTTATATAAGCTAAAGAGGTTTGATGTACTATTTCAAGAAAGATTATACCACTTGAATATGTCAGTAACAAAACTGGGTGAGATTACTCATTTTTCCACTAGCTTGCTGGCATACGTATCCAGTATTTGATGCATGGTGGGCAAACAAAGGTAAGTCTCATAATTTCTATTACAAATTCACAATATCAGTGATTTGGTATTTTTTGCTTACCTTGTGGGCACCTGTCAGACAGTCAATTTCAACTTCTGAACAAGCAGCTCCAAAAACAAAGTAAGGATAAATGTCACCTTCTCCCTTCTCCCAGTCCATGTGAACTTCATAGCCCCTGAAAAGACAAAGTCCATTCTGTAGTCAGGTTTGTGGGACTTACAGGGGACCATCGTTAAGAATGGCTGAATGAGAGAAATGAGATTGGTTTAGAGGTAAGCTATGCCACACGCCCAAAATGTCATGCTCCTCAAGGTTCTACCTAGGACTTAGAGCAGAGAAGGGACATTGTCCCATCATGAGGAGTACAATCCATTCCACATTCAACAAAAGAGGTATCACTTTTAACTTGAAGCAAGAGTAAACATTGTGAAGCTATTCCATTATATGTCTGCATTTTTTTTTGTCGGTCATGGGGCCTGAACTCTGGGCCTAGGTGCTGTCCCTCAGCTCTTCAGCTCAAGGCTAGCACTCTACCACTTGAGCCACAGTGCCACTTCTGGCTTTTTCTGCTTATATGGTGCTGAGGAATCGAACCCAGGGCCTCATACATGCAAGGCAAGCACTCTACCACTGAGCCACCTTCCCAGCCTCTATGTCTGCATTTTTAAAATAACCAATATAATGTTGATGATTGCAATTGAATAATGGAAAAAATACAAAATAATCTGTTTCCTTCCTTCCTTCCTTCCTTCCATTCTCTCTTTTGTGGCTTAAACAACAGAAATTTATTTTCTCACAACTCTGAGTAACAAAAACAAAGATCAAGGTGCCAGCAGGTTGTTCTGAGTTGGGTCTCTGTCTTCTCACACATAGTCTATTGCTATGTCCTTTCATAGTCTTTTCTTTGTGTTTATTCACCCCTGTTGTTTCTTTCTCTTCTTATAGGGACACTAGTCCTTTTGAATTAGGGATCACCTATATGATCTCAGTTAACCTTAGTTATCTTCTTAAAATCTCTCTAAATACAGTTCTATTTAGGGCTATGCCTTCAAACCATGAATTTTAAAGAGGCATAATTAAATCCACAACTTATTATAAACAAGATGCTAAAACTAAAGTCTTGATGGAACACAGATCACATACATACATATGTTATGTATTTATATATGCATTTATATGTATATACAAATATTTGTGTATATATGTATGCAAATATATGTACGTATTCTATTATGTTATAGATATGAATAATACAGATTTTTTTAACTTTGCTAAAAATGTAACTCATGGGACAGTCATGTTTATCATTCTTGTGATCTGTTGTTCCAAAATACACAGTCACAATATGAATGCTGATTATATTTTAGCTAAGTTCTAGCTTCTTGCCCAAGAATACACCTGGACATGATCTAGCTTCTTGTCATAGCTGGTGTGGCAGGCTACATACTACTACTTCTTTTGAGACACAGTCTCATTGATTTTTCTGTTAGCAGTGGCCTAGAACTACAGTCTTCCCAATCTCAGCCTCTCCTGCTGGAATGATAGGCATGAGCCACTGTGCCTGGCTAAGGACTAAGAAGGAGTCTTGCAAACTTTCCTGCCTAGTCTGGCCTTGAATGACACTTTTCTTGTTCCCAACCTCCAGGTAGCCAGGATTGCAGACATGAACTAATGGTTCCAAGACCACAGTAATTTTTTTTTTTTGGTCGGTTGTGGGCCTGAACTCTGGGCCTAGGTGCTGTCCCATAGCTTTTCAGCTCAAGGCTAGAGCCCTACCACTTGAGCCACATCACCACTTCTGGCTTTGTCTGCTTATATGGTGCTGAAGAATTGAGCCCAGAGCCTCATGCATGCAAGGCAAGCACTCTACCACTGAGCTACCTTCCCAGTCCCCCCAGAGTAATTCTTAAGAGAGGATTCTGGCAGTTTCTACCAAAACCAATCAGAAATAAAACCATTTATGATCCTAGAAGGTAAATTGTTTAGCAATACCAATAAGACAGTAAGTTTTAAGGTAGTTTTAATTGCATATGTCAGAAACAGGTTAATGAAAAATACTTTGTTACTTGAACAAGGGCATTGCAATAGAGGTCTATCCAAAGATAGCCATTGAGGGAGGGAATTCGGAAGTGAGGAGGCTGAGTGCATAGTAAAAAGGCAATTGAGACTTTGGGTACTAAAATATGGTGGGCAAAGGAAGCAGAATGATGAAACCATAGCTCAATGTAAGAGGGAAGAGAGGGCCTCTGTTTGCTGCTGTTCTTTGAGCAAGTGGAGCATATTTATAAGGGGAAGTTAATAAACTAGAGGAAATATGTAGAGAGAGAGAATAGCTGAAGGAGCTGAGGTGCTCTCAAGAGAGCCTGGAAGAAAGAAGACTATCAGGCAATGAAAAGGTCCACGTGAAAGGAAATAGGGGTTCTGTAGTGAGGCAGAGGTGGGAAGGAAAACAAAGTGGCAACGCAGACGACAGAGCATGAGGGGAGCAAAAAGGTGGGCGAGGCTTTTCTTTTTGCCTGTTGGTTCATTGCTGTTGCTTCAGCCTCCAGGGTAATGAGACGTCATGAACATTCATTAAATATCAGTGAAGTGGGTAGAGCATGGAAACAGGTATTTGTATTAGTGAAAGAAATCAAGATCTGGGTTTTGATGATTTCTCTTAAGTTTACTTCAAGATTTCAAGTAATTGCTTTCTCCTAAATTTACTTCGAGACTTCCTATAATTGCTTGGTTCCATTGATTTTGGCCTTTTCTTCAATAGGATAAAGAAAGCTATACTGTCCATATAAGACTCGGATAGATGGTAGAAGAAAGCCAAAGGTCAACAAAAGGAGATTATTTCACAGTCCTTGTTTAGATCTTCAGCTGTTGGGCCAGTACATGGATGCGTTTCTCTCTACTTCCTGGTCTCCCTCTTTGTAATGATTTCCATCCTTTATATCCTCCCACACAGTAGTATCTTTGCCTTCCTTGGTCTTGACATGTCATCAGTGGATGTTGGGCCCTTTTAGTTGTAGTTATCTAAATTCACATTCTTTCTCTGAACTACTGACATTACAGATGACCTCCAGACCCACCTTATCTACCCGCCCTACCACTGATGGGAACTGTGTCTTTATAGGCATCAGGATGTAATATGGCCCTCCCTGAGAGATGGGCCAGGCCTATGTATTCTTATGTGCTAAGAAGGGAGTTTGCTTTTTGTTTGTTTGTAAAACCTCTCTGTTGCAAATTCCCTTCTTCTGATGAACTTTGCTTCATTCCTCACACTATTTGTTTGGACTTCATCTCTGGCTTAACTAATAGCTCTAATAACTAAACATCCATTTGTCAAGAGTAGAGAGTTGTCATTTTATTCAATGCACAGTATATAAACATTGAACTGCATAACTTGAGAGTAGGGATGAGAGGAGGACTAATTTGGGAGAAGGGGTGACATTGATCAAGATGTATTGTACCCATAACCTGGTTTATGAAATTGTAACCTCTTTATACAACTACTTAACAATAATTTAAAAAAACAGTGCTGAATCATACCAGGCAGCACTAAAAGCTTTACAAAAAATCCCGTCACTTTGAGCTGTCCACATTTTGTAAAGGACCACTAATATGAAATTTGTAACCTGGTAGCTGTTTTATGAGTAATAAGTCATATAGGAAGTTATTGATCTACCTTCCTGCCATGACATAATACCTCCCTCTCTTTCAATAAAAATAAAATAAGCAATAATAGGCTTAATATTGAAAATGTAAACAACCAAGCACACCTTTCCAAAGATCCTTGTCTGTTCTTAGAGCAAATAACTTTAGGACAACACCAGATACTCCTTACCTGAAATATCCAGTGGCAGAGAGACTAATACTTTGAGTAAAAGCTTCATTGACCTGTAAAAGAAGAATAATATTCAAGGAGAAATATACAACTGGACAAAAAGAAGAAAAACACAGGGGTGATGAGTGGATTGTCCCCAGGGGGTTCTGATACATCCTCTGTGAAGTCTGATTGGCTTGTCTGGCTTCCCTGAGGAGATGAAGTCACTGTGTAGATGGATCAATTTACAGAACAAATGGAGAGGCAAAGAAAATAAATGTCTGTGGCAGAAGTCTAAATTCAGCTCCCCAGGCAAAGTCTGACAAAGGATCTCCATCTTCCTTTCCCCATCCCCAGAGAAGTGGGCTGGTGCTAGAGCTACAGCTATGGTCAGAACCATGAGAAGAGGTAACTTGGTTGGATCAATGAAGAAGCACTTTCCTTTTGCTCCATCTATCACTGCTCCCTATAGGTTTCCCATGAAACTTCAAAATCACTTTCCCATAGCACCAATTAAGCACTCACAGAGCTTTGTAGAAACCCTGGCCCCATAATTTCTTACCTGAGTCATGTTCAGATATGAAACCTTTTCTCTGAAAGAAAAGCAACAACTAACCCTGAAGAATTCTTATCCGATTTTTTTCCCCATGTAAGCTTGAAATACATATATCAAATTAGTATTTGGAGCCTTTACTGAAGATGCTTTTTTCAAAACTTTCTAACACTGAAGCAAGAACTCCTCTTAAATGTATTGCTTTTCTTCTGTTCATATTGCTAGAAGTGAACTAGATGGCACAGGGTTTACCTTCGTTAGTAATAAATCAGCTATTGGTGCATTTACCTAAGAGCAGCATTTACCTAAGAACAGCATTCTCAGGTAAACCAGTTTTCTGTCCAATAAGAGTGGGTTGCAAGGTGCATTGTGGGTCTACATCTGCTTTTTATTGTCTTGCTGGTATAAGTAGCAGTATAAGTGCTACTTGGGAACTTTATGGAAATTCAGCATCTGAGGCTTACCCCAACCCTACCAAATCAGAATCTGAGGTTTAATAAGATGCACAGGTGCTCTGTCTGTCCCTTGAGGATAGAGAGGCACTCACTGCCTTGTGCTGGACAAGGAGGAAGTAGTCAGGAAGGATGCACCACACCAAGCATTGCTTCTACCAAGTGATTCTACGGAACTCTGTAGGCTTCAGCCACATCCACTCACCCACTCTTCCCAGGTGCCATTAGGGTTCTGGCTGACAATGGGTTCCAGGCGTTTCATGAGGGTCTGACAGGCATTCTGCAAATCGGGCAGGACATAGAGCAAGAGAGAGTTAGAAGGTGAGGACTAACAAATATCACTTTCTCACTCTATATCAATCATCATGTTCCCCTTGCCCCTCAGATAGCTCCCATTTGGTTTGTCTCCACATCTGGACAGGGGTCAGGCCCTGGTGCCCTCTGTAGGAGTGGTACTAAGGGTAGAGTGTTGGGAGCCCCTGAGAAAAGAAACCAAGGGAACCCACAAAGAGTGCAAACTCTACTTGCCAATTAGGCAAAACAACTCCATTTTTATTTGTTTTTTTTATGTCAGAGTTTCATGTAAAGTGTTTTTGCCAAAGATTAAACAAAACTACAACCACCACTGCCCATGGCAGAGAATGTAAGAGATGTTCCAAGCTCAGGCACAGAAAAAGGCAGCCTGGTGTAGAGAAGTGTGGAGTTTTGAATTGGAGATCCCTGGGATCAAATAACTCTGCTTCTTCTCACATTTTTTTTCTTTTTGTACATTTTTTATTGTAAAAATGCTGCATAGAGGGGTTACAGTTACATGAGCAATGTCATTAGTATATTTCCTATGGAGCATTGTTGCCTCCTCTGTTTTCCCCCTGCGGTCCCTTCCCTCCACACCTCCACAGCTACATCCCTCCCCACCCCCACCGGCGAAGTGAAGTTCGTTTTCAACATAGTGTCTTGTACATCTCATTGTTACAGTGGATCAACTTGTGACTTTTACTCCTCACACCTTGGAAATTTCATTTGTTACTTGAAGATACTAGCACTAGGTGAGCACATCCTTTAATTTTCTCAGGCCAATCCCATGAAAATTTGCTATCTTTGTGTTAACAGCAATGACTCTTTTATTATTATTATTATTGCTTTCCAAAGTGTCTTGGTTTGACATTGTCACTAGAAATAAAACCTGCCTGGAAAGGTTGTTTTACGTATCAAATGAGTAGCCACAGCTCTCGCTTTTCTCTATTACTTCATTCTGGAAGTACTCATTAAAGTTGTGTGGAAGAAGAGTCTGGAGCCCAAATGGCTACAGAGCCTTTAAGTTACTCTTGCCATTAGTATCAAGCTCAGCTGATCAAACCAAGGAAATCTGTTGGCTTTCAAAGTGGGCACTGAACTTGCCCTCTTCCAGATAGTAGTCCTTTGGCTCATGAAAACTTCTACCCTCACCAGGTGCCAGTGGCTCATGCCTGTAATGGTAGCTACTCTGGAGGCTAAGATCTGAGGATCACAGTTTGAAGTCAGCCTGGGCAGTTACAATGTGTTTGTGGGGAGGTAGGGAGGGAAGTGATGGTAGGGGGAAAATAAAGGAGGAGGTAACAATGCTCGCTATGAAATGTACTCATTACCCTACTCATATAACTGTAACCCCTCTGTACAACATTTTTACAATTAAAAAAAAGTCAATGTAACTCTTATCTCCAATTAGCCAACAAAAAGCCAGAAGTGGAGCTGTGGCTCATGTGGTAGAGGTCCAGCCTTGAGTGATAAAACTAAGGAACAGCACTCAAGCCATGAGTTAAAGCCTCAGTAGTAGGACACACACACACACACACACACACACACACACACACACACACACACACACACACACGCGCGCGACTTCTGTTGTCTGTCTTGCTAAGAAGGCATCTGTGATGGTCTTTGCTGTCATGTCAGGAGGTCTTTTCTATAGAGACTTATCACATTGTCTTACTCATGGATAGTAAAATGGCAAGTTTGCAGAAGTGGAACCAATTACATTCAAAGACTGCAAAGAGATGCCTCATTGGTCTCACACAGAGCTCAAGATACAGCAATCTCATCTGAGGATTCTCCCTAAGCCCTGCCTTCTATGAGGGCTCCTATCAGCCAGGGAAGGAAGAAAGACTGGCTCATACACTCCACACTTCAGATAAGGCTTCGAGAAAATAGGTAACGTTGCCTACCTTTGTGAAATTAGTCTTAGGAGTTCTTAAAGTAAATTAAGGAAAAATAGAATTTATGCTGTTAAAATAACACTCCGGTGCCCACTCTGTTGGGTGCCACAGAAAAATACTAAGAGATGGTGTTTTACCACGTTCTTTCCAAAACCCATGAAAAAGCAGCAGGAGTCTTTCTCCAGGGCTCCGTGGGAAAAAGGTCTGGGGACACACAGAAGGCTAGGAGCTGTGAATCAATACCTGCACAGCCTTTCCATTGACATCTGCCCCAGAGGATGCTGCCGTGGCAATTGTGTTGGGCACAGTCATGGTGTTCATCTCGCCAAGGTGTATGTAAGACATTGGGAGCTGTAACTCACGGCTGGCCACCTGCCCAGGAAAGTAGACACATGGATGTACTGGTTCAGAGTAATAATTTAAGCCTGCTAAGTTTGTTCTGTTTTATAAAGTGATAAGGAGATTTCACCATCTATAGTTTGGATAGACATAGTCAAGTCAAATTTGTAAAGAATTTAAAAATCTTTCTCTCAACTCTAAGGCCTCTCAAGTATTAGGGGTTAGGAAAATATTCTTTGATGTCACATGGCAGGGTTGAAGGAGGTTTTTCCTGAGAGAGGAGAGCCATCAAAAACAAAGCATAGATCTGCCATCTTTTAATCACCCACAGAGAGGCCTGCTGGATGGACGGCTTGGGTCCATGGCCTGGAGGAAGGACCCAGATTTATTACAGGTGCAGTGTTGGAGAAGGAAACGGCACCAGGAAGTGTGAATTCACTGTGTTGATTAGGTACAGGAATTATCCGAGAACACTGGCTGCCAGCAACTGAGCTTCAGAGCCCAGGAGAAATTCTAGCTGTTTCATTCAAAAGAAAGGAGCTGCTCACTGATCTCCTGGGAAGCTAAGTTTTGGTGAAACCTCTCTCACTAAAGAAGGGAGGAAAAGCCTTCTTCCTGAGTCCCAGCCGGCTCATTTCCACATAATCCCAAATAGGCAACAGTGTGGGTATCTGATCATTGCCTCACAAAGCCTAGAATCTGGTGAATATTTTCTACAGCCTAATTTTGGCTGACTGTAAAATGGAAACAATCTCTCTCACCTGTATCATTTTGGTGTTAATACCTTGTCCCAGTTCGACTCCACCATGAGCAACTAATACAGACCCATCTGTGTAGATGTGAACCAGAGCAGCAGCCTGAAAATAAAACCAGAAATCACTTAACCCTGCCATCTGGACTTGATTTTTTTTTTTTTTGTGATGTTGGAGGTAGAACCAATGACTTTACACATCTTCAGCCTTGTATTTGAACGTTTAATAGTTAAGCAGTCACAAATGAAGTCGCTGAAGCTCCTGAAAGCCACAATTTCACTCTTGTAGGATCAATGGTTTCATCAAAATGTGTGTGCTGCCTATATAGAGTGAAGACACTGTTCTATGAGAACTGTGAAGAAATGTGACCTGCCCTGTCACATGGCCTTCTGCCATCTTCAGCAGCCTTAACTAGTTACACTTTGCATGCCTGCTGGGCTTCCACCCCATCTGTGAGTCTATTCAAAGTGTAAAGTTCAGTTCGACAAGCAGAGCTGACTACTCTGTGAGGCATTAACAAACGGACCCATAATACAAAGATCCAGGACAACCTAGAGTGCTCCATGTTTTGTTGGGTTATGGCCTTTCTTGGCCATCACTGGTCACTTGGAGATGGACATCCTATCTCATTGAATAATTTTTCTTTGCTTCATTTTTTTACATCTGGGGAGTAAAATGACATGCAGAGAACTATAGGATAAAATACAAGAATAATACAAAGAATAGAAAACAAAATCTCACCTATCCACAGCCCTATTGTGGACATACTATGTTGCTATAAGAAAAACTGATAAATGTAAGTCCACAGTCTTTTACCTACAGTTCTTAACTCAAAAATTATTAAAAAGTATGTCTGGTAGGGAAACTTAATCTTATTTCACTCAATGAGGTGAGGTACATAATTTTTAGAAATCTGACAGGTAGGCACCAGTGGCTCACACCTCTAATCCTAGCTACTTAGGAGGCTGAGATCTGAGGATTGTGTTAGAAGCCAGCCCAGGTAGGAAAGTCTATGAAATTCTTTGTTGTTGTTGGTGGTGGTGGTGGTCATGGGCTGAACTCTGGGCCTGGGCGCTGTCCCTCAGCTCTTCAGCTCAAGGCTAGTGCCCTACCACTTGAGCCACAGCGCCACTTCTGGCTTTTTTCTGCTTATGTGGTACTGAGGAATTGAACCCAGGACCTCATGCATGCGAGGCAAGCACTCTACCACTGAGCCAACTTCCCAGCCCCAAGTCTATGAAATTCTTATCTCCACTTAACTACCAAAAAGCTGGAAGCAGAGCTGTGATTCATGTTGTGGAGCACAAGCTTGGGCAAAAATGTTCAAGAACAGTGCCCAGACCCTGAATTCAAGCTCTAGGACAGGAATGTATATGCTTTCTCTCTCTCTCTCTCTCTCTCTCTCTCTCTCTCTCTTTCTCTCTCTCTCTCTCTCTCTCACTCTCTCTCTCTCTCTCTCTCTCTCTCACACACACACACACACACAATCACTACTGATGCAGTGATTTAGGTATAGTAATGGTTATCTACAATCCTAGTGTTCAGGAGGTTGAGGTAGGAGGATCTAGAGTTGAGACTAGCTTGTGACACACAGCAAGACTTTTGCCTCAAAAATACAGAAAGAAAACCATACAAAATTTTACTTAGTTTGAGCAATCATGTATATATGACTGCTCTGTTGGTATATCGCTGGACACTGCCTACGATTATAATAAATAGTCTACAGTGCATGGTCTTTTACATTTGGTCTCAGAGGTTTCATAGGAGGGATAATAAACATGTGCATGTGTCTAGTTAAGAACTGAAACACTCAGAAAAGTACAACTTAAGGAGTGACTGTTCTTCCTGTATGGCTAGGTATGTTGAACATTTCTTTATGTATTTATTGGCCTTTTGTACTTCTTCTTCTGAAAAGTGTCTATTTGGCTTCTTTGCCCATATATTAGCTGGGTCATAGAATTTTTAAGACTTAGGGTTTTGAGTTTGTTGTATATTCTGGTTGTTTGGCCCTTGCTAAATGTATAGCTGGCAAAGCTCTTGCCCATTCTGAAAGCTACTTTGTTAATTGTTTTGTCTTTGTTTTTGCTTTTTATTTTCTATCTCGGAGCCTGAACTCTGGGCCTGGGAGCTGTCCCTCAGCTCTTCAGCTAAAGGCCAGTGCTCTACCACTTCAGCCACAGTACCTCTTCTGGCCTTTTCTGCTTATGTTGTGCTGAGGAATGGAACCCAGGGCCTCATGCATACAAGGCAAGCAAGTCAACCATGGAGCCACCTTCCCAACCTCTTTTTTGTTTTATGATTACATCTTTTGCTATGCAGAAGCTTTTTAGCTTGATACAATTCTATTTATCAATTCTCTCTCTTATTTGCTGTGCCTTTGGATTTCTGTTCAGGAAGTTTCTTTCCTATGCCAATAATTCCAGTGTTTAATCTTTCCTATAGTAGTTTTAGGGTTTAAAATCTTACATGAGGTCTTTGATTCACTTTGAATCGATATTAGTACAAGATGAGAGACAGGGATCCAGTTTCATTCTTCTGCATATAATATAGTTTTCCCAGCAACATTTGTTGAAGAGGCTATCTTTTTTTCCTCAACATTTATTTTTAGCTACATAGTAAAAAAAAAAAATCAGATGGCTGTGGGTATGTGGGTTAATTTCTTGGTTTTCGGTTCTGTTCCATTGGTCTTCAGGGCTGCTTTTTTTTGTTGGTAACAAGCTACTTTTATTACTATGTATCTGTAGTATAGTTTGAAAACTGTAATTGTGATTCTTTGCTTTTTTTTTTGCACAGAATTGCTTTGGCTATTTGGGGCCTTTTGTGCTTCCATATGCATTTTGGGATTGATTTCTCATCTCTGAGAAGAATGACATTGGGCTTTTTATGAGTATTGTTTGAATTTGTAGAATTTTGGCAGTGTGGACAATTTTATGACAGTAATAAGTATGATAATAAGCATATACTAGAGATAATCACAAAGCAAGGCCTATTTCCCTCCCTCCCTCCCTTCCTTCCTTCCTTCCTTCCTTCCTTCCTTCCTTCCTTCCTTCCTTCCTTCCTTCCTTCCTTCCTTCCTTCCTTCCTTCCTTTCTTCCTTTTCTTTCATTGCTTCTACTGGGTTTAAACTCAGAGCTTCATGCATAATTATGGTGCTTGGAGGGTACTCTACCACTTGAGCTACGTGTTGTACACCCCTACCCCTTGCATCCCAGTCTGGCTTATAGCTGGTGGCCTCAGAGATGGAGTTCGCAAGACTTTTCTGCCCAGGCTGTCTTTCAACTGTGATTTTCTGGATCTCAGCCTCCTGATTAATTAGTATAAGTTTGCTCCACCAGCCCTTGGTACAATAACGTTATTTTCACTGAGAAAACAATATCTACCTGTATAAATATTTTGTAGCAATATTCTCTGAAAGGAGGTGTATAAACAACCATCTGTGTGGTTAGGAATAAATGATGCTTGGAGTCTCCTTATCTCACGGGGTTGTCTGTAGCGTCACAGTTTCCCGAACTAGGTAACATAGAGATTTAGGCATCACCTCTAGAAATCCCTCATTAAAATACTCTTTACCCGGCTGTTAACATTTATGACCTCAGCTTAACTGTTAGAAAGAACAGAGAAGTAAAATTGTGGACAGGTTGCTAGAAGTTGGAGATGAGGGTCAGGAGAGAGGTTGTTAGGAATGTTCTGGGAGACAGGACATATCAGAGCTAAGCAATTGGACATTGTGTATACACATATATGTGTATTTACTATATAGATAGGATATATACGTATATCAAACTTAATATACATTTGAATTTTAAAAAGGTGATTTTCTCTGAGCTTTCTAATAGCAACTTTTTGGTGTCATCAATCACCTGAAAAAATTTATTTACAAAGAAATGTTTCCAAATCACCTGTTGGCAAAGTGCAAATAGAGCAATAAAATTGCTGAAGGTGACGCATGGCCTCCCTGGCTGGCCGCTTAATGCACTCTTTCCCAGAGCTCAAGGGAAGAGGTTGCTACAAGCAATAGGAGGACCTCATCGTAGTCTTGGCTTCTAGACAAGGAGCCCAGGAAGAGTCAGTGTAGCAATATATACATATTTGCACCTGTTTTACTTCAAATGTAATCCTACAAAACTCAATTCTTGTAAAATGGTATTTATTAAAATCCCACTAACAGGTACTTAGGACTTTAAGTAACAAGTACTTAGGACCTTTTTATTTTTCCAGAAAAGTACTGACCCTCATCGGAGCCTGCAAATATCCAGGGGGTAACTAACTAAAAGCAGGATAAAAGCTTGCTATTCCTGCATCTATTTTACAGCTGTCTTCTTTGCTCTGAGTCTCTCTCTTACATTCACTATGGAATCCAGGAAGGACAGGCCTAATTGATAACATCTTGTGACAACAGTTGAAATTTCACCCCAGCAACAATGACTTTCTTATCTGCATCGCTCCCTTTGGGTGATAGAAGCAACAAAAAATTTTCTGGAACACTTTGATAATGATTAGCCAAGCCCTACTTTTGCTGGAACTGTTTAAGAATTACATATTCCTCTCACCCTTTACCCCAACCTTATCTAAACTGTGCCTCTTCCTGCAAGGTGCCTGGCCACACAAGGAATGTCCTTCTCTGCTCTTCACTACTACTAATCTCTTTATTTGGTGTATTATGGCCAGGCCTGGCCTGTGGAATCCCAGAATTGGGTCTCTGGCCTAGAACTACTGGTTACAATACTTTTAAGGGACCTGTCTTTGCCTAAACTTGGTGGCACTGATTTTGAAACACTTAGTAGCTTCTGGCTATTTCTATAGTCCACAGGTTAAATATTTGGAAAATTGACAGACACCAATAAGGAACCATTGGCAGACCTGTTGACGTTTCTGTATATAATGATCAGTGATTCCTTTGTTTGTGTTGGAAAAGCATATAGACCCTGTTTTTTCCTAGAACTTGGAGAGCAATTTTAAGAAAGCTACAAAGAAAGACCCAACATTCACAGGAATTCTTCCACTTCTTAATCATGTAACAGTGCATTCACCCATCTATTATTCATCCATCCATCCTCCCATCTATCCATCAATTCATCCTTCTTTCTTTGCACATTTCTGTGACTTGTGCTAGGCTGGGCAGTAAATGAATGACCATGACAAGGGGCTCTCTTGCGAGGACTCTCTAAGGAGAAATCAATAATTTCAGCATAGTGTCATCATAAGAATTAAGAATCAAGGGTAGGCATTGAGGATAAGAAGTTGTTTCCAGGATTAATGTTCAAGGGTTACATAAAAGCATAATAAATGTTAAATGAGATTGTGATTTAAAGAAATCTTCAAATGATCTATAAATTAGATCTGTGGTATTTGCCTTGCAGACAATGATTTTACAATGAGCTTTCTGTCCTACTATGCTCAGAACTTTTGTTCAAGGCTACTCGGTCCTATGAAGAGAATGTAATACGCCATTCCAGCAAACCAGCACATGTGAAAATGTACATCTGTTACAGAAACTCTACCTGCTATTCAAACTGTCCTTCAGCGTTTAAGCCAAATGAAGAGCTTCTCAAACGTCACCCTGACCTTGCCAGAAATGATTGTCTAAGAATTAGGAGTTGTTAAGCAACATAATTGTGTATCTGCCAAGATCATACAGATAGAAACCTCGGTTTTGAGTCTTTAACTTCTATCTCCTTCATGGGAAACAGGAGATATTTCTCCCTACTTTATCCTGCTATACTAAAATAAATTCTTAGTAAAACTTTTACTTTATGACACTCTCCTTTTCATGAGACCCCTTGCAATGATTTCCATATGTGTATATCTGAAAGACCTGTGATCTCGCACAGAAACTGAGAAGCTGAGGGAAAAAAACTTCATCCAGTATCAGTACCACAATGTCTAGAGTTCCCAAGGCATTCTCTAAAGGTTAGTACCAGAAGAGGTTTCATTATAAGCTCTTGAATTTTTTCAGACTTAGAAACATTTCTAAAAGTTACCTGATAATAAAATGTCTTTGGAAATCCAACTGAGAATTTCATGGGGATAATGGAAATTCCTCTCTTCTTCCAAAAACTCTGTTGGTTAAATTCCTCTACAGCTTTCCTTCTGCTTGAGTATGAAGAATTTTCCATACATTTGTGCCAACATTTTATCAGATTCTTTGGATCAAATTCTTGCTTGTGAATTGTCTTATCAATTGTTTTGTACATATTTAACTCTCTAACCTGGTAGATTAAAAACAAAAACTTCACAACAGAAGCTGCAGGGAGCGGAGTCAGTGTGAAAATAAGCAATTAAGGCACAATATTACTTTTGGAATTGAGAACGTCTTGTACAACTACTTTAAAAGAGAGACAGTGTCAGCCAGGAGCCAGTGGCTTACACCTAAATCCTAGCTACTCAGAAGGCTGAGATCAGAGAATCTTCATCTGAAGCCAGTCCCAGGGAGAAAAGTCCTTGACACTCTATCTCCCATTAACCAGTAAAAATGCCAGACTGGAGGTGCGGCTCATGTGGTAGAGAAGCAGCTGTGAGCAAGTACTCTGAGAGCCCAAGGTCCAGAATTCAGTTCCAGAACAACAAAGGAAGGAAGGAAGAAAAGGGAAAGGAAGGAAAAGAAAAAGAAGGGAAGAGAGGAGAAAGAAGAGAAAAGAAGAGAAGAGACAATGAATGTGCTCCTATCTATTTAAAGACTGTTTTTGATCATCAGTTCATGTTACCGTCTCTGGTGGCAAGTGGCATTTAGATGCTACTGCTGTCATCCAGGTCTCTGTTACAAATGCTCCTTGTGGAAAACCAAACCCTCGGAAGGCTGTATTGGATGGTAAATTGGTCTTGCAAGCTCTGCCTCTCACTCGCAGGTTTGGGATCTTATAAGCATTTTCCATTTTGAGCAAGGCATATTCTATTACCTGAAAAGTGTTCCAAGGTAACAAGTACATTCACGTAATGAAATAAGGAGACATGGATCAAATTGTTCATCCAGATGAGAGAAATGTCAGCCCTACAGGGATGTTACTTCTCAATTTAATTCTTCGCCTCATCATTGTGAAGAATCTCAGAGTTTCTTGGCTATCTACTTGAGTGACCATTTACTTAACTTTAAATTACATGCATTCTACTTAAACATACATGTATCCATAATTATATGCATAAATAAAAGACATTTCTGAGGACTGGGGTATAGTTCAGTGCACTTAGCATATGTCAGACCCTTGGCTCAATCTCCAATACAAAAAGGAAAACAAAAGCATTTCTGTACTTTATGTTTTGCATATGGTAGAAATGGAAACTGCTTAATGTTAGCTTACAATTTTTTTTCTGATACCCTTAAGATGTCATGAGTAGTACGTACAATGACACTACTGCATTTTCTCTTTAGTCTGAAGCCTTCAACTTCTTTAATATTTCCTGAAATCTTTTCCATTTCCCTTCCTAAATACTTAAAACATGAAATCTCAGTAAAGCCCAAGGTTTCTGATAATGATCTGATAAATTATGCTAGATTTCTGTATCTGAAGATTCAACCAACCTCAGACCAAAAACTGTAAAAAAAAAAAAATTGTATCTGTGCTAACACATGTAGACATTTCTTTCATTAATTGCTCATCGTTTCCTATACAATATAGTATTACATCTATTTACATAATATTTACATTACTTTAGGTTTGAAAAAGAATCTAGAAATGACTTAAAGTATAGAGAAGCTATGAATAGGTTAAGTGCAAAAACCATGACATTTTAAGTAAGGAATTTGACCATCTGCTAATCTTGGAATCTACAGTTGAACCAGTCCACCCTGGGTAAGAAAGGGCACACCAATATTTCAGCATGGTGGTAGATGGTGGCATCCTGAGTTACTGAATCTTTCTATCAATAGATAGGAAAGAACAGCTTTCCAGATAGGTCATCATTCCTAGGTTTTTGTGGAGGTGAGGCCAACAACTGTTTGCTTGGTCTGCGGGGAACCTCCTCTTCCAAGGCACAATAACAATATTTTATGTTGAGCCAGAATCCGTTTGTTTTAAGAGTAGAAACAAGTAGCTTTACAAGGCATAGGAATTTCATAAATGTTCTCAAGAGACTATGAATTTTATCCGAGGGCTCATTAGGAAGCAAAGGCATTGAGCAGACAGGAAAAAAAAGATACAAGATTGGAAGCTTCTAGAACAGATAGAAACATTGATTGAGAATAGGGGAATAAAAACCGAATAGGATGAGGATGTGCTCTTGTCTATTGTTAAAGGATTAGACTGTGAGTGAAATGGTCCTGGGATTTTTGGACCATGAGGCATTGTAGTGGTAGCTGGACCTAAGCAAGGTTGTCCCTTTCTTTTTAAATTTCCATAAGAAGAATTAAGACACATCAATTTTAGCCAACTTTTACAAAGTAACATCATCAATGAAGACAGACTCAATATACTTAAAGCTCCCTTGATCAAAAAGGGATTTGAGAAGCTAGGCAAAAGATTTCCCAGAAGAGATTTGCCTGAGACAGGCCCGATGCCCTGCCCTTCTTCCAGAAGCCAAGTGTGTTCTTCCCTGACACACCCCGTCCGCCTTGCCCAGAGGAATGGTGATGTTAGGAAGGGAGGAGGAATGAAGAACCTAACTGTGTGCCATGGAAGTTTTCTTGGGATAGGGGCAATCTATGGAATTCACTGAAGTGAGCATTGGGTGGTCTTCTTATCAGAAGGTCTTAGAGTTACACAGGGGCCAAAGCTCCCTCACAGACAGACAGAGGTGGAGATCCAGAAGCATTTGAGTCATCAAAATTACTTACAGTTTATATTCTGTGCCAAACAGGTGTGGGCTCACATGAAAATTTATCCAACTCATCAAAACAAAACCAGAATCCCAGGTATTATGAAAGTTACATACCAGTTCAGAATCATCTGGTGTGCAGCCTCCGTTAATGTGATATTCAATGTCGGCAGCCTTGATTTTCCCATTGTTCATAAAGCCAATCTATGATCAGAGAACAACATTTATACTACCTGTGAGGTGGGAGGGCACCTCCTAAGCATCCTGAGCAGTGAATTGGCACAGTGCTGGATTATAGTTCTCACAAATACCAGCAAGTGTGACTGGAGAGTGAGCCTTCCTAAGCTGACCCTGGGAATTCTACCATTTGCACTGGGCTGCCTTTGCAACCGACCTTTCTAGGCCTTTCTATCCTCCTGTGTAACAATGGGGACAATGCTGTCACCTAACCCTATGATTCTCAAAGCTTCATGTATATTAGCCACAGGGAAGCTTGGTAAAACAAAAGTTACTAGGCCGCACCTGCCAGTGTTTGATTCCATAGATATTGGATTTTCCTCTCCACTCACCTTGTATTTCCCCAGCAGTGGGTGGCGACCACCAGTGATCAACATGTCATCCCCACGTTCCAGCACAAAGCGAACTGGGCAGCCGGTTCTAGAGAGAAATTGAAATGACAATTTTAAGTGATTTGAGATTTGAATTCAGGGTTATGGAATGTTCTAGAAACCATTGGCTCCCATCTACCAGACAACAAAGAATCAGAGAACAGGTACTCTGAAAAGAGAAGGAAGATGTGGGTTTCTTTATTTTTCACAACCAATGAGGCAGCCAGGAAGCTATCCGTTCAAGAATCTACCTATTTAAGAAATTCCTTTCCTATTGTTCTTAGTAGTCATGGTAGAGTATTTGTGGGGGGAAGGAGGATGAGGCTAACTCACAGTCTTATTTTAAGAGTTTTGTTTTTAATTAATTAATTGATATTTTATTTTTATCTTTGCTGGTCCTGGACTTGAACTCAGACCCTGGGAGCTATTATTGACCTGACCTTTTTCAGCTTGAGGCTAGTGTTCTAACACTTGAGTCATAGCTCCACTTTGGTCATCAATTGGAGATAACCATTTCACAGACTTTCCTGCTCCAGCTGGAAGTGAACCATAATCCTCTGATATCAGCCTCCTGAGCTCCTGCATACTGAGGATTACAGGTGTGAGCCTTCTGGTGCTAAGAGTTTACTTTTTTGGGGGGGGGGTCCAGTTGTGGGGCCTGAACTCTGGGCCTGGGCACTGTCCCTCAGCTCTTCAGCTCAAGGCTAGCGCTCTACCACTTGAGCCACAGTGCCACTTCCGGCTTTTTTCTTTTTGCTTATGTGGTGCTGGGGAATCAAACCCAGGGCCTCATGCATGCAAGGCAAGCTCTCTACCACTGAGCCACCTTCCCAGCCCTAAGAGTTTACTTTTTAAGCGTGGTTTTCCCCATTCACAACGGGAAAATCTGAGTGGATTTTCCCTTCAGTACAATTTTGGAATTTAAAAAAACCTCTGAAGTTTGACGTTTGGGTTTCTTTTATTAGTATCTTTTTATTAGTATCTTTTATGGCTACTTCATTTGTATTAGGGGCAGCAATGATTTCTTAATCTGAAAGTTTAAAGTCTTCATTTCTTACATTTGTCATGCAAATACCAATTCATGTTAAATCCTCCTATTTATTTCTTCTATCACATTTCTGAGATCTAGCTTTCTTCTTTCAAAAAGAATCCCCCTGTCTGAGCTTGAATTTCATCATATTCAGATGACAAAAGCTGCTGCAATTCCAGAACCTCCTCCGGTTATCTCACTTTCACACCTAGGAGAAAAACAAAAATCTCCGAAGAAAACACCATTTAGGTCATGATTTCTATGCTTAGGTCATGATTGCTAGCATCTCTCAGTGTAGTGGCCCAACTTTTCCTTTTTTCAGTGTTTCCCTGAAGGATATCTAATATATTACACTCTCATCATAAGCACTAGATGAACTATGGTTGGGATTACTAAAATTCATAATATGTCTTGTGTCTTTGTTATTATGTGCGTTTCTAAAATGTGAGTGTGTGTGTGTGTGTGTGTGTGTGTGTGTGCATGTGTAACAGTTCATAATCCTGGGGTATTCTCCTAGATGCTTAGATATATGAAAATATGATGTCTAGTTTGCTTTAAAGAAGAATTTATGATCTGATCTATCCAGTATTGTATTAGTATTCTTTACTAGCTGTGTGCTTCAGTAATGGCTATAAATATTTTATTTTTTGAATAGGTAATGCATGCACAATTCACAGATTTCAAAAGGATGCTCAGTGCAAAGTATTTCTTCTGCTCCCGTCCCCAGCCAGCTCTTCAGGAAACACAACTGTCAGCAGTTTCTTGAGAGTCCTTATAAACATATTAAAATTTTAATGTGCAACCAGGTGTGTCTTCCTTTCAGAAATAATAAGCCATCTGTGAATAAAATCTTATTCTTCTTTTTATGTGTGTGTGTGGTTTTTCTTTTGGCCTGACTCCATATCTATGGACTTTCATTCATGTCTTAATGAATACAGTTGATAAATCACGTTGTCAGTTTCATTTATTACTTCCTTTACTGGTGAGAGACAGGGAGGATTTTCAGCTAAAGATACAGGAAGTACATTAGATGAGACCCACACTGCCAACTCAGCTGGAAATCACAAAGGCAAAAATCCCCCACTCTGTGCCCTCCCCATGGGGCCTTGGTAATTAGGCCTGACTCAGCAGACTCTTGGCCTTTCTCCTCTTGTGTCTTTTAGAAGTGCCTTGGGTTTAAGAGGAATGAACTGCTAAGTAACTGTGGCTCACAGATCCACTCACTTGTGTGCTGCCACAGCTGCCACTGCTGCCAGAAGTCCAGACTTGCTTGTTTTTCCTCCAAAGGCACCACCAACCCTTTTCACATGGCAGTTGATCCTGTTCTTTGGAATGCCCAAGGTACAAGCTACCATGTCCTTGAGTCCGGGATTGGTTCCAGGTTCCCCAAAAGTTTACACAGAAAAGACATGATAAGTAAGAGGTTCATTCACTGATAAAACAATTCCCTCTCATATTCCTATTGTCCTGTATAAAAATATATTTATCTATTGAAAAGCTATAGATGCCTTTAATGGCTCAGTTGAAGGAATAAACTGATATTGCTTTTGAATACAAACTCATGATAGATGATATTCCAAAATGACCACACTTAGCTCTTTATTCTTCTCTGCCTCAGCCACTCCAACAGTCCTGCAAAGGGCTGCCCTAGATTCCCTACTCTTAGATGTCGGCATTAATACTAGCAGAATGGACAGAAAAAACTATGTGCCATCCAGAAAGAAATAATGGAAAAGATCTTCAGTTATTTAGCAGTCCATGGAACATGAAGATAAATCTTGGCTTACTGTGAGTCAAGGGAGGATCTGAAATGGAGGAACTGGGCTGGGAGTGTGTTGGTAATAACCTAGGCTGCAGCAGGTACAAGTGAGGCAGAGTGGTAGAAAGTTTAAAAAAAGGCAACTCTCATTCTTTACACGGTATATGTTGCTGCTCAGCAGAGGATCTATATTTAACTCAGACATCCATATTTAATTTAGATGTCAGGAAATGATTTCCTGCCCCTCTGGGCAGGAGTTGCTACCCTCATATCCCACAAAGTAGACTTCAAATAAAAAACAGTCAGAGTAGACAAGGAAGGTAATTTTATATTAATAAATCAAGAAGACACAACAATTCTTTTTTTTTTTTTATGTCAGTCGTGGGGCTTGAACTCTGGGCCTGGGCGCTGTCCCTCAGCTCTTCAGCTCAAGGCGAGCGCTCTACCACTTGAGCTACAGCGCCACTTCCGACACAACAATTCTTAAATCTATGTACCAAATGTCTGGGCACCCAACTCAGTGGCTAGGGTTATTTCTTGGTATTTTAATTTTTGAGGCCATTGTGAACAGACTTGCTCTTCTAATTTTCATCCCCATCTGCACATTGCTGTTATGCAGAAGTTACTGGGTTTGGTGTCTTGATTTCATGTCCTGTTCCTTTGTCAAAAGCGTTTGTCAGCTCTAGACATTTCAGGGTGAAATCTCTTTAGATATTTTGCATCATATCTTCTGTAACTTGGGATCATTTGACTTCTTTTTCCATATTTGGATCCCTTTTATATATGTTTATATTTTTTGTTGTTCTGCTAGGAATTCTAGCATTACATTGAATAAGACTGGGGAGAATGGACATCCATATCTTGTTCTTTATTTAGAGCAAATGAAGACTAAACCTTGTATTGAATGAAATTATTGGCATTTGTTATAGCTTTATCATTTGCTTTTTAAAAGATTCAGAGAGCAATAATACCCCAGTAACACTAAGCACATCTAGCACCAGATTTCATCACTAACTACCATCCCCCCTTAAAAGAAACCAGGGCTCCTTGGAACAAGTGTCAATTTGAGGTCTGTGGTAAGAAAAGGACAAACTGTTTATATATTTAGAAAGTAAGAAAATTCTTAGAAGATGATAAATCTATGTTGAAAGATTGAAGACACTAACTTGAAGTTATTCCCAATGGCCAAACAGGGGGCAATTTGAGCACCAAAAATCTTTTCTGGAATGGATTTTGACACACCAATTCTTTTTCTTAAAAAAATCTATAAATCCCCATTGGCACAAAAACAATTTAAAGCTCTTTCCAGAAGAGTGTTAAGGAATAAATGTAGTATGTATCATGGAGTTAGAAAAAATACTAGACAAGAATGACCAGTGGTACTTAAATAATCAGAAAACAGATAAACAGTGTCAAGCTAGCAGTCCACACATAGCTTGTTCATTACAAAGAGGAGAAAGATATCCTTGCAGAAGATAAACCTGACAGTACCGCTTTCACGACTAAACTTAACAACTTAAGTATTGCACCACACCAACATATTCCTTTTGATGTAATGAGTTCAAAGACATTTCTATACAATATATTGCCAAAAAATAGTTTATTCTGAATCTAATCAGAAGGGGACAACTATCAAACCGAAGTTTAGGGATATTGCTGTAAACAACTGTCTTTGCTCTTAAAAGTATCTATGAGATGAAAGAAAAAATAGTTTGGGGAATTGTCTTAGCTTAATTGAGACTGAAGAGACAAGCAATGCATGATCCTGGATTTGATCCTAGACTGGAAAACCAAAACAAAGCACAAATACAAAATCCAGGACATCAGTGAGCCTACTGGGGGAAATTTGACTATGGTTCTTATAAATAAAGATTAGTGTTCGTCAGTGTTACATTTCCTAATGATGACTGTGTTGTGATTATGAAGGAAAACATTACAGAAATGTGTGTGTATATATATGTATAAATGTATGTCTAACATCTTTGAGAATCTTAAGGTCATACCACTAGACAAGTCAGGAACATGAAGTGTCAGTAAATGGCCTACTATGGAGAAGGCAGCAGGGACATTCATAAAAGACAGAAAAACATTGTTTAGATGTGAGAGGTAGCAGATAACTGGCGATCTAGGCAGAAGCAATGAACTGAAGCGTAAATGGAATGGCAGTAGAGTATAGGCGATTGTTTTAAAAACTTGTCTCATAAGAGAAGGAGAAATAGAAGCAACAGCCACGAGGTGAAGCAGAATCAAGGGAGGGTTGCTTTTAAGAATGGAGCAGTAGGGTGTCAGTGGTTCACACCTGTAAATTTGACTACTCAAGAGGCTGAGGCCTAGAGGATCACAGTTCAAAGCTAGTCCCAGCAGAAAAATCTGGAAGAGTCTATCTCCAACTGAATAGCCAAAAGCTGGGTTGACGGTATAGTTTAAGCAGTAAAGGACCTCCTGTGGGCAAAGGAGCCAAATAAGAGCACAAAGTCTTGAATTCAAGTCCTGATACCAGCATGAACACACAAAAAAAGAGAGAGCGAGCTGGGTGCTGGTGGCTCATGCCTGTAATCCTAGCTTCTCAGGAGGCTGAGATCTGAGGATCGGAGTTCAAAGCCAGCCTCGGCAGGAAAAGCTGTGAAACTCTTATCTCCAATAAACTACTAGAAAAACCCAGAAGTGGTGCTGTGGCTCCAGTGGTAGAGCGCTAGCCTTGAGCTGAAGAGCTGAAGGACAGCACTCAGGCCCAGAGTTCAAGCCTCATGATCAACAAAGAGAGAGAGAGAAAGAGAGAGACAGAGAGAGAGACAGAGAGAGAGAGACAGAGAAAGAGAGACAGAGAGAGAGAGAGAGAGGAGAAGATTATTGTGGCACTGGTGGCACACCCCTGTAATCCTAACCATTTGGAGGCTGAAATTAAGAGGATTGAAGTTTGAGGCTGTCTGGGCACACACATGAGATTCCTTCTCAAACAATAACTAAGTGCTAGTAGTGTACACCTATCATCTCAGCTGTGTTGGAGGCTAAGATGGGCAGATTGTCCAGCTTGGGCAAAAAGGTGCATGAGATTTCAGTGGAAAGAAGCTGGACATTGTGGTATGTGCCTATCATGCAAATTACAAATAACTGAAAATAGGCAGATTGTGGTCCAGGTTTGTTCCAGAAGAGCAAGTGAGAAACTATCTCCAAAATACTTAGAGCTGCTGGCATGCATGTTTCAGAGTGCGCTCCTAACAAGCACAGAGGCCATGAGTTCAAAACCCACTACCATCAAGGGGGAAAGAAAGAAATGGGGCATATTTTGATTTAAGGACTAATCAGAATGGGGTAGTGAAGAGTTGTAATACAGAATACAGGAAGAATAACTGTGGAGGGGTGGAGAGTGGAGCTGGGAACTGGAAATGTATATTCCCATGGCCTCAATATTTTTTCTAATGAAGTAGTAGACAATTATCATCTGAGACAAAGGGGACTTAGACTTTTGTAGAAGACTAGTGGAGAGGAGGAAAAATCAGGGCTAACATTGTGAGGGCAAGATGTACAGGACACTATATTGAAAACAAACGTTACAATGTCCGGGTGGGGGGGGGGGGCAGGACAAGTTGGGGAGGTGGGGAGGGAAGGGATGGTAGGGGAAAAATAAAGGAGGAGGTAACAATGTTCGCTATGAAGTGTGCTCATACTCTACTCATGTAACTGTAACCCCTCTTACAACATTTTTACAATAAAAAAATAAAGAATAACAAAAAAAAGAAAAATTGGGGCTAAGTTTTGCCATTGCCTTTTGGGGGGGGGCATGGGGTTCGGGGGTCAGTTGTGGGGCTTGAACTCTGGGCCTGGGCGCTGTCCCTCAGCTCTTCAGCTCAAGGCTAGCACTCTACCACTTAAGCCACAGCACTACTTCTGGTTTTTTGATGGTTAATTGGAGATAAGAGTCTCATGGACTTTCCTGCCTGGGCTGGCTTTGAACCACGATCCTCAGATCTCAGCCTCCTGAGTAGCTAGGATTACAGGCGTGAGCCACCGGCAACATTGTTCAAACCTCATTACTTAGCTTTCACAACTTAAGGCAGAATATTGACAATGTCACATGTGTCACAAGTGTAACACAGACATCATGACTAGAAAGCAACCCACCTGGGTAAATGCTGCATCCTGGCTTGACACATATATGTCTATTTCTTTATCCTCTTTCTTGGGTACCACACGGACACTCTGAGTTTCCATATAAAAATGTTCCTGTCCTCCAAAGTGCACTTCCCCTTTTAGATACATCAAACATATGAAGCTTTTAGAAACACTTCATTTAAATGTATTCAAAATAGAATGTTATTAGTGTTATTTTTAACGTGATGAGCATAATACTTGGTGTCCTGTCTTATTTCAAAGAATCCCCCAACTTAGAATTACTCAGAGCAATGCAATTCCTTTACAATTGCTTGTAGGCTTAGGCCTTCTAATGTCTAGTCCTTTAGTTCTTTATCTTCTACCTGCCTCCAAACAAGTAATAATTTCCATCACATTACTAATATCCTGTTTCTCCTACCTAAACAAATCTTTAATGTAAGAATGCTTTTGGATTCTTCTTTGCTTGTCACATCTAGTCAGTGCTTAAATACTGCACCGACATTCTCTCTACTCCATTGTATTTATCATCATTTTTACCTGGAATATTATCATGACCTTTGACCTTATCTTTGGTACACTCTCTTCCTCTTTCTAGCAGATTCAATAAAGGATAACTATAAGCTTTTCACCTTATTATTGGAAGATCTCAAATATCTTCTGTTATCAGTGGAACCAGTACAGATTTTTTTTGGACTAAGGAATCAAGTTTCATCATAAAATTACTCTCACTTCTTTGAATCTTATGTTCATGTCCTTCTTCTTAAATTCCCTTAATAAGAACTAAGATGTATCACTTTCATCCAACTTGTATAAAATTAAGGTATACTCAATATATTCAAAACTCCCCCGATAAGAAGGGACGTAAGATTTCACCTTCAATGATTTGATCAACACACTGAAATGCCTCTTCAACATTTCCTTGTTCTAGTTTTTTCTCAGGTCCAATGAATGATTTGTGCTGTATTGCATCCTATAGAAGTAATAGATTAAAAGTGTCACTAATGTTGTCCAACTCAAGATTTCTAACTAGTCACTGCCACCTCTCACATAGCGAAAGCCAGCTGTGATGTTAATCCTGGATCTTAGATTGCCCTAGGACAGCACAGATTTCAGACACAATTTCCTAGTGCGTCAGTGTATTCAGCTGCATCTTTCAGACCATATCTCCTGAGCAGAACATTTCAGAAAATATGACATAGAATGGTGGTTAGATGTTATTGACCATCACATGCATATTTAATTTACCTATAAATGTCAATCTTCACTGAAGTTGGGACTCCTCTAGCTCTACTAATCCTCAGAACAAACCTATTGTAGAAGTTTAATACTCCACTAGTCTAAACCTTTAGACTATTTAGAATTCCTTCTATCTCTTATTTCTAGCTAAGAATTTTGATAGGAATGTGACAGAAGAATGATTTAAATACCCAGACGTGCACAGAGACACAGCCTTTATTCTTTAATGTATTCAAGCTGTTCTTAAGCAGTCTATGTTCTATATTTCATGAATACTTTCAAAGTTATGTGAAAACTTCCCTTTCAAAATCGGATAATGACTTTATTTAAAATAAAATAAGCTGAGTGTACTTGATGAAGAGGCCTGCCCCTATGTGGGCCTTCTTTCTAGTTCCCATCCTTTCCTCAAAGTAACCACCATCATTAGCTTCTGGAGCTTATAAATGCAAATGTAAACAATTATGAGTTTATGCTCTCCGATTTGTATATTTATTTGCATTTTGCCTTTCACTTACAACCTGGAGATATTTCTGTTACAGTGAACAGAGAATATCTTCACTCAGAAAGTATGTCTACAGTGACATAGAATTCCATTAGATTTTTTTTTAATTTTTATTTTTTGCAGTGCTGGGAGTTGAAACCAGAGCTTCCCACATGCGAGGCCAGTGTTCTACCATTGAGCTATACCCCAAAGCCCAAATTCCATTCTTATAGGTAGATGAACACTTTCATTAGCTTCTGATATTTTACTAACATAAACAACGGTGTAAACAATAATTTTGGAAACTATATTACTCATGCTTTTCATGACTGTGGCCAAATACAGGACAGAAACAACTTACAGGAGGAAATGTTTGTTTTAGCTCACAGTTTCAGGAATTGAGCCCAAGGTCTTTGGCTTCATTGAGTGTGAGCTCAGTGTGAGGCAGAACATTGTGTAATAATCACATGATGATCAGAAGAAGCTGTTCACCTTAGGGGTGACAGGAAGTAGAAAGAGGTGGGAACTGGGGAGCAGCCATATCTTCAAAGGCACACCCCCAGTGACCCACTTTCTCCATCTCTGCCCCACCTATAAAGTTTCCACCAACTCCTCAAATAGTAGCACCAGCTGGGGTCCAAGCCTCCAGCATGTGAGCATGGGGGAGATATTACACATTCAAACAATGACAGAAACAAGCTGAGCTTCAGGATAAAATCTCAGAGTAGGTTTCCTGTTTAAAGGGTATGTATATATATATATATATATATATATATATATATTTGGAATTTTCATTTTTTTTCTCATAGATAGTGTTGTTCTAGTTTAGCTCTCCCAAACTGACCAACTGAATATATTATAAACCTGTGTTTTCTTGTCAATAGGTTAAAAACAATACTTCTTTATAGTTTTTAATTTAAACTCTCATGATAAGACCTGACATTACTTCCTATGTCTACAACCTATTGTGATCTGCCTGGCTTTCCTCATTTTTTTTTTGGATTTTAAAAATGTTATTGTAAGGGTGAGGTACAGAGGGGTTACAGTTACATGAGTCAGGTAATGAGTGCATTTCCTTTTGAACAGTGCCAGCTCCCTCCCTCATTCTCTCCTAGTTTTCCCTCTCTTGACTCCTCCCCCCAAGTTATATAGTTCATTTCCAAAATAGTATCTAATGAATATCACTGCTGAATTGGTTCATCCTTTATCCCACCATTTCTGTGCTTCCCCTTCCCCTTCCCAAATCAGATCAACTTATATACAGGACAAAGCATACAGAAATATAAAACAGCAACAGAAGGGAATAAACCAAAGGGGAAAAAAAGAAGGAAAAGAAAGAACTACAAATAGTACAATTAAAAAAAAACAACTCTTGCTTCCATTTCTTGGAGTTCATTTTAATACTCATCATTTTTGTTTATTTTTTGTTTTTATTTATTTTGTTGGTCGTGGGGCCTGAACTCTGGCCTGGGCGCTGTCCCTCAGCTCTTCAGCTCAAAGCTAGCACTCTACCATTTGAGCCACAGCGTCACTTCCAGCTTTTTCTGCTTATGTGGTGCTGAGGAATCGAACCCAGGGCCTCATGAATGCAAGGCAAGCAGTCTACTACTGAGCTACCTTCCCAGCCCATCATCATTTTATATGATCATATACACATAGCTATTGAGCCCTTGCCATTCTCTCCTAAGAATATCCTCCTTTGAAAAACAAAGGAAGGAGTAACAATGCTTGACAAGAAATATACTGATTACCTTATTCATGTAACTGTAACCCCTCTGTACAGTATCTTTACAATAAAATTTAAAAAAAAAAAGAATATCCCCCTGTGTTCTCACTGTGTGAATGTTTAGACTGCTATTTAATTAATCATGCCCAGGTGTAATTATTTGTCTTTTACTATCAATTGGGTTTACTTGTAGATTTATAGGCACATTCTAATTATTACAAATGAAAGAAACTCTGAAGCCTATGTGTCTTTGGGTCTGGCTTACTTCAATTAGTATAATTTTTTCCAAGTCTTTCCATTTCCTTATGAATGAGGCAATGTCATTCTTTCTGATGGAAGCATAAAATTCCATTGTGTATATATACTAAATTTTCTTAATCCTTTTGTCCACTGAGGGACATAATGCTACAATGAATATGATTGTGCTGGTGGCTTTAGTATAGCCTGGTTTGTGGTCATTTGGATAGATGCCCAGGGGTGGAATTGCTCGGTCATAGGGAAGTTCTCTGTTTAGTCTTTTGAGGAACCTCCATACCTTACTGCTTTCCAGAGTGGTTGGACAAGTTTGTATTCCTACCCACAGCATAGTTCCTTTTTGACCACATCCTTGCCAGCATCATTTATTGTTAGTTTTCTTGATAATGGCCATTCTAACTGGAGTGAAGTAGAATTTAAATGTTGTCTTGATTTACATTTCTTTTATGGCCAGAGATATTGAACATTTTTGTGTGTCTATTGGAAACTTTTGTTTCTTCTTTGGAGAACTCTCTCTTTGTTGTTAGCTCATTTATTAACCGGGTTGCTGTTTCTTTGAGGATATATTTTTGGGAAGTTTGATTTTTTGAACTTTAAGTATATTTTAGATATAAGGCCCTTTTCAGATGCATAGCTAGTAAAGATCTTCTTCCATTCTGTGGGCTTTCTATTTATCCTGCTGGATATGTTCTTTGCCATGCAGAAACTCTTCAGTTTGATGCAGTCCCATTATCTATTCATTTTTTGATTTGCTCTGATTCTGGATCTTCACTTAGGAACTTTCTACCTGTGTCAAGGAGCCCTAGTGCCAAGGGACAGTCTCCCCTTCCTATAATATTATCAGTGTATCTAGTCTTTCATTGAGGTCTTTGATCCATTAGGAGTTGATTCTTTTTTTTTTTATTTTATTTTATTTTATTTGAAAACATACTGTACAGAGGGGTTACAATTACATGGGCAGGAAAATGCATACATTTCTTACCTAGCATTGCAGCCTCCTCCTTTGTTTACCCTTCACCTCCCTTCCCAGCCAGGAGTTGATTCTGATGCAAGGTGATATATAACGATCTAATTTCATGTGTACAGACAATTCTGCCAGCACCATTTGTTGAAGAAGTTTTCTTCCATCTTGTGTTTTTAGATCCCTTATCAAATATGAGGTCTGTGGGTTCTTTTCTACCTTTCTTTATTTTTGATTCTCTCTTCCTTTTTCATATCTAGGAAATCATGTTATAACTTTTAAAAATTAGCTCATTATCTTTGATACAGTTTACAATGCTTTCCAGTTGATGTTTATCTTTCAACTGCGTATTATGTTTTTCTTCATATTAAGTTATGAAGTTGAATTTATTAATCTTCTGTGTTCTGGTATTTAGAATTTGAGGTACAGCCAGAAATACAGTAGAGTTTACCATGTGTTCTTTGCTTTCTGGATTTTGTTTTTTAGACTTCTAATTGTAACCCTTTATAAAAATCATGCTTCTTTGCATAGCAGGATAATTTGTAAAGGCTGATTCTTGTCATTCATTATTTTAGATGAAGAACTTAGAACATAGTCTCAAGTAAGACATAATCAACAGGATTTACTTGTGGGAAAGTTTTTGTTTCTGTCTTTCAACAGAGCAGCAGAGGTTGTTATCTAGTAGATTACGTAGCCTTGCCACATTACACAAATGAACCCTATGACTGTCCCTCCTCTAGGCAATGATGCCACTTCCACTTTAGTGAATCTATCACACAATGCACAAAAGGAATCACTGTGACTTTATCTCAGAACCTGGCAAATAGTGAAAAAAGAGTCCAGAAAAAAAATGCACTCTTTCCACATTCAGTGAGGTGAGAGTCAGCTCCATGTAGGGCAAGGATTGGGAGTTGGAACATGGGACAATAGCTAAGGGAAAGAAATTTTTGAGGGGCTGGGAAGGTGGCTCAGTGGTAGAGCACTTGCCTTGCATGCCTGAGGCCCTGGGTTCTATTCCTCAGCACCCTATAAGCAAAAAGAAAAAAGCTGGAAGTGGTGCTGTGGCTCAAGTGGTAGAGCGCTAGCCTTGAGCTGAAGAGCTGAGGGACAGCGCCCAGGCCCAAAGTTCAGGCCCCACAACCGGACCCCCCCAAAAAAAAAAAAAGAAATTTTAGATTTACAAATGTTCAAATCTATCCTAAGAGCCAAAGGCTTAAACTTTCTAAGATCAAATGTCAATTTGGGAATTTGGGACTCTCCCTTTCAGAAAACCAGAATTATTTCAAATGTATTTAGTGGCAATGGTCAGATTAAAGATCTATTGTGGTTTGAGAGAATGCATTTCCAGTTAGAAGAAATTGGTGGTGATAGCAACAAGGCTTGCGGAAGAAAGTCTATTTTCTAATCTATGATCTCCATTTTATCAGAGGGAAAGCTAAAGGTTTCCACAAATGCTGTGCAACTATAATCTTTCCTGCAACAACCCACTGCCAAATGGCCAAAAGACAGGGCAGATAATGACATTACCTGAATGGTCACAATGACGGGCTCCAAGTCTTGGTACACAATCTTTACTTTTTTTGCTGCCTGCTTTGCATGGGCATATGAATCGGCAGCCACAGCACAGACAATCTGCCCCACACAAATCACCTGTAGAAAGAACAGACCAAGCAGGGAATGAAAGTGTGCCCAGCAAGTCCTAGATCAGTCTAGCATGCTGTATGGTTCTGAAGTGTAGCAGAAAGCAGGGGGCTTGGGTTGAATACTGGCACTGCCACCAGGGCCTCAGAGAACTGACTGAAATCACTTAGGTTTCAGTGTCTTCATCCTAAGATAACAAAAACAGTGCCAACTTAACAGTGAAGTTAGCTGCCTTAAATCTGGTCCCAAACAAGACTGAGTACAAATAAGTAGTGTGCGGTTGGTAGGACTAAATGTGATCCTAGGTATAAAATTCCTTGGAAAAATGGATTGGTACCAGAGAAGGACAGCTGCCACTCTTATTGATACGCCATGAGGGTGGTAGACACCTTAATGCCACTACCTCATCCTGCGCGTACAGCCTTTCTTCTTCACTGCCATTGTTACCAGGAACATCTTGAGCAGTGATCACATCAGCCACACCAGGCAATGCCAGGGCCTCAGAGGCATCAATGGAACTGGGGAGGAAACAAGACCATAAGCCCCTCTTCCATGAGAATACGCAAATCCCAACAACCCCACTGGTTCACTTGATCATCATAGGAAAGTCCACAAAGAGCAGTGTGTGGACACGAAGCCAATACCATGGGAAAGGGAGGACACTGATTTTGCTGGATGCACTGATTTTGCTGGATGCAAGGGGAGACCAAAAGGGATATTTTTTAGGAGAGCATTCGTTATTCCCCTCTTCCAGGAGTCTCTATAAGCTTGTATTGAATCCTCAGCACATTGAAAAGGCCAGGTTCCTCTGATGGTGGACATTTAGAAAAAGGGTAGAGGAAAACATAGGTCTTTGGGATCTTTTGTGCTGAGGAAATTGAATGAAGAGTTACTCTTTTCCATTTACAGAAAACAATGGCTACCTCTTCCAATACTAGTTCTCTAACTTGATAAGAACTTAGTCTTTACTCCCAAGTCGAGAATTTTCTGACTTTCTTTTAGTTTCTCTTATCAAGATATATACTGAAAACATCACTATTATTTTGTGTGTTAAATGGTTTAATATATTGAGTTGGATAGAGGGTTTAACCAGCTTTCCAACTTCACTCATTACTTACATGATTCTAGCATGTGGCCTGGTGCTGGTTACCACAGCCAGGAAGAGTTCCTCTGCCAAAACAGGCATATCATCACAAAATATAGCCTCTCCTGTGGCATGCTTAATGCCAGACTGATGCATGATGGGGCGGCCCACTGGGTCATGAGGAGGCTGCTGGGGATCTACACACTGTTTTGGAAAATGGAAACAAATTGATCAATCATAGTTGTCGTTGCTGGTACTTGCCTAGACATGCAAATAAGAATTTTCTGGAAGGGACAGAGTTTTGCTACTTTCATTGTTCTCTCTCCTGCCTAATTTATTGACGTTGGTAAGGATCATTGTTGTAAAACTGGAACAAAAAAATGCAGAGGCAGCAAAGGAGGTTTCTGCTGCCCCCTATTGGTAGCCTCCTCCTAACCTGGCCATTGAATAAATAGGCTATTTAATATCTATTATTTTATTATAAGAAAGTGCATGCATGTTGAAAAAAGAAATTCCAACTCTATCAGTCCTGGGAGCGAACAAAACTTCAAATTGTTGTCAATATGCTAGGTGAAAATGATATGTTGCTTCTAACATAATTGGCATTTTCAAAATCCTGAGTGAAGCTCTATGGAGTTAATGTTTTTATTTTTCCAGTGATCTGCCAGGTGCTATACTTGGCTTATTTTATTTTATTTTTTCTTATTGATTTATAAAAGTTTTGTTGCAAATGTTTCTCTTTTTTTACTTTCTCTTTTATATAGTCAAATTTGCTAGTCTTTTCCTTTAGGGCTTCTGGGTTTCAAGTTATACCTGAAAAGGACCATATATCTGATATATATGTTTGATATATATATATATGTATGTATATATATATATATATATGTGTGTGTGTGTGTGTGTGTGTGTGTGTATATATATATGTATATATATATATAATATATCTCAAACACATTTTTCTAGTAATTCCATGTTTCATCATTAAGACTTTAATCAGTCTGTAATTCATTCTCATTGTAAAGTGGTAAATGGAAGTACCATTTTATGTTTCTTTCTCTGGTTTTTAACATGACTAGCTAGTTGTGCCACTACCTTTTATAAATACTCTATTTCGTTGTGGAGGCTTGATTTCAGGGCCTTGATTACTTGTTTTTCTTCACTGACATTCTACCCCTTGAGCCATGGCTCCAGACCAGCTTTCTGCTTGTTGATTGGAGGTAGAATCTCACAGACTCTTCTGACCAAGCTGTTTTGATCCTGAATCCTCAGACCTCAGCCTCCTGAGTAGCTGGGATTACAGGTGTGTCCTAATGGCACCTGCCTGCATTTTTATTTCTAAAATGATGCACCATCTCCTAGTTTATTTGTTGAGTCTATAATGTTCTATTTGTCTTTTAGCCTCTTCTTGTACCAGTATTTATTATGCTTAATTACTAGAAATATATACTGGTATTATATAGGGTTAGTTTCCCTGCATTATTAATTTGAAAATAAGTTTCCTGAAAGATCATATTGGTATTTTGATGGGGAATGCATTTAATGTCCTAATAGAAACTTGAAGTCTTCATACATTTTATGTCTTTTTAAGGACTACATCATGCCCTGTATTTAAGTATTTTTTCCTCGTTCACCACTAGTTTAATAATTCCCTGCTTATAGTCCTTGAAACCTAAGTGATTTTATTCCTAGAGATTTACTTTCCATTTGCCTTTTCAGTGGGATTTGTTACCCTCTCACATTTTCTAACTGATAATGCTCATATGCAAATATCCCATAGCTGATCCTTTCCAAAAAGTAATTCAAAAGCAAAGCCAGGTTAAAAAGACAATTTCAATTCTGCTACTGGTCATTTGGAAAATGAACTGACCTCAAATGATTGCATCCCCTGGGGAATGGCCAAAGGAAAATCTTCCAGGACGCTGATGAGTGTTTTAGAGAGACCAGGATAGCCACGTGGGTCCTGAAGCACAAATACTTCTATTATTTTAATGAAAAATACTAATTGTAATGACACAATTGCTTGACATAAGGAAAAAACCTGGCACCTCTGAATGTTCTCCACACTTTGATTTTCATTGCTTAGAGAAGGTTATATGAATTTTAGGAGCTCTTTGAGTTCTGTCCATTAAGGGCCCTCAGAAACATAGCTTGAAAACCGAACTATGGTCAGGTCACCATATGGTGCCCCGTTAAGCTTTAAGTTTTAAAGAGAGGTTGGCAGAATTTGAAACAAACTGTCTTCCTGGAGAATCTTAAAGACAAACCCATTTTTACCCTCATCCTCAACTGCTGCAAAACATCCAAGTAGAATTTGAAGAAGAAACTGATGGCGAGAGTCCTTCGATATGCCACCATTCCTCCAGGGGCTGACTGGGGAGGGGCGATTTCTTCTAGAACCAGTCTGCAAGCGTCATTTAACATTCCTTCATCCCAACATCTACACATAGGATAAAGGAATCCAATCAGTTTAGCACAGTGAGGGATAAACCAAAGTGTACCATTTATCAGAAAATTAGGTTAAAAAACTATAAATAGGGTGCTAAAATCTATTTTCTCCAACAGGAATATGATCATATTCACTTAGGTCTCTTTGTGCACACTGCTTTATTTAAAATCTTGCTTTAAATGATCACATGGACTTTCTGTGTAAAATGCTAAGATGCAGGAGAGAATGATGTCTCCTGAGAGACGTCAACTGTCCTCAAAGGGCCAACAGACTTATTTTGTATTAAGTATAAGCTGATAAATTACCTTCCGATTAGCTGTCGGCAGGATTTGTTTGCACTGACTGTTGTAGGGCCAAGCCCTCCATATAAGATGTTCAGGTCCACAATGGTGGTTGTGTCCGCTTTGAAAAGGACTCTCATCCCTGTGTTTACAACTGCGAGGGCATTTTGTTGACATGGAGCTTGTCTGAAAGCTGACACAAACTCCCACTGCAAACAACCACAGTGACTGATCATTTTGAAAATTCATGAACCTGAGAAAGTCTCCAGAGCAATACAATAAATACCTACCTCTCATCCACTTAGATTTGCTTATTTATCAGTGCTTTTCCACCAATCTTATACTAGGTATGCACATACACACACACTACACACTCATGCATTCAGTCTTAGTTGGAACATCTGAAAGTTAATGACATTTCATAATGACATAATGACATTTCATCATTAAAAATTTCCACAAGCTGGGAACTGGTGGCTCACACCCATGGCTCAAAGCCAGCCTCAGCAAGAAAGCCTGTGAGACTCTTATCTCCAACTAACTACCAAAACAGCCCTTAAATGGAGCTATGGCTCAAGTGGTAGAATGCTAGCCTTGAGCACAAAAGCTCAAGGGCAGTGCCCAAGCCCAGAGTTCAAGCCCCAGGACCAGTACAAAAGAAACAAGATCCACAGGTAACTCCTAAAATACATGGAATTTCTCCTTTATAACTCCCTCCCTCCCTCCCTCCGTCCCTCCCTCCCTCCCTCCCTTCCTCCCTCCCTTCCTTCCTTCCTTCCTTCCTTCCTTCCTTCCTTCCTTCCTTCCTTCCTTCCTTCCTTCTCCCCCTTCTGCCCCTCTCTCTTTTGTGGCAGTACCAGAGTTTGAATTCAGGGCCACTTTAGCCAAATCCCCAGCTTTTTCTTATTTATTTGTGTTATTTTTAGGTGGAATCTTGCCTTTTTGTTCATGCCAGCCTGTCTTCAATCATCTTTCCTATACCTCCCTTATGACAAGGATAACATAAAACACACTTCCTGGCTTGTTGGGTGAGATAGAGTTGTGCTAAGGCCTGAGCAGGCCTTAAATCTTGATCTCCTTGATCTTTGCTGAAGATGGCTGAAATTATAAACATGATTCACCATACCTGGCATCTGCTGTTATTTATTCCAGTTAACTCTTTTAAAGCTGATGGAGGGGTAGGGTCCTTGTTCTGCCACCCATTCAGTGTGAAACTTTGTTGAAATGCAGTAAGGTCATTGGACCTTCTTAATGATATGATTTGTGAGTAGAGGAACCATAGAGCGTTTGGAGAAAGAAGATATGAAAATAAAGCAATGTCCTGAAGTTCTCTAAAGGTGATTGACATCTAGTCTTTCATTGTTGTTTATACCTATGTAAAACATTTTCTTTTAAACCATACAGGAGTTTGAATTCAAGAGCTTTACACTTGCTGGACAATTGTTCAAGCCATGCCTTCAGCTTATCTTGCTTTGGTTTAGCTTTAGTTTCAAATAGGGTCTGTCTTTTGCTTGAGGCTGACCTCAGACCTTGGCCTTCCTACCTTAGTCTCCTTTGTATCTGGGATAACAGATGTGAGCTACCATATCTGTGGAGCTAATCTGTAGTTCCAAATTCTATATTTGTATTATGCTGAGTATAATTCAAGATAAAAATAAAGCAACTAACAGGTAAAAGTGAGTATTGTAAACATCATAATCTCATACCTTCTCGGAGACTGGAATGAAAATAGAAACTAGGACATGTTCTGGCTTCAGACTTGCATTTGTTGCTCCAGACAGAAAATGATCATTTAAAGGAATTTGCTGCGCTCCTTCTGTTAGAAGAAAATAAAGGCATTTTATCCAAAGGTTATGTACCATTGAAATGATTTTATACTTTATTAAATCCAGCTGTATTCTTATTCTAGAAATCAAATGGAACGAATAACCACAAACAATATTTTGACTGTCCCTTGATCTGATTGTATCAGATGTGTTTGACCTCTGTCTTAGAAAAAAGTTTTCTATCTGTTCTAATAGGCTTGGACTCCTACAGTTTATAAGAAGCATGCCATGTAGGTTATAGTGTGTGGTTTACCAGATAGATTGATGGAAATTAGTGTGAAAATGTGACAGTGTCTGAAAGTCAGTGTGCAGTGGGGGACACCTGTGAGGGAATGTGAAGAGTTGGGATATCTGGAGACAGATGCTGGTGAGCATGGTACTGTGACATCAACAAAATAAAATTCCCATGCAGCAGTAATGCCAATACACAAAACAACACTAAGCTTGTGATGATTTCACACCCATATGCTAGGTGATGCAAACAAATGTCACAGTCCTGGCTGACCCATTTATTTAAAGGAAGGAGGCTGTTCTCCTCATACCATTTTAGGGAATTCTTTAGGGGAATCTTCTTTTAGGATCTGGGTGGCACTACATTCTTTATCCTTTAAAGGTGGGATTGATTTGTACTAAGAGGTAAAAGATTCAGAAGCCAGCTTGACAGAAAAAGCAATAGGTTGAACAGACTGGTTTTGCTTATGTGGTTTGTGAGTCAGGGAGAATTTTGCTGTTTCCTGTTTTACTTTCCTGGGCAGGTCCTGTTGAAACTTCTCCCCCAACTACATTTACCTGACTTGGTCAGTATAAAATTCAGGTTTTTAAATTATATTAAGTGAAGTAAGCCAAGCCCAAAGAAACATAGGTCTCATGGTTTCCCTTATTTGCAATATCTAGTATATGTATGAGTCAAGCAGAAAAGGTCAGATAAGGTGATGTTAGGAAAATGAACCCTAAGATATGTATTCAAATGTTTTTTTTTTCTTTCATGCGATTGTTTCTAATGCATTTATAAGATTATTTCTTTGTTGCTTTGTATGTCCCTCCCCCACAGTATAACCCATGCTTTCACTGTATTTGATGTCGGTATAATTTGTGGAGGGGAAGGGGAAAAACAAGTCATTTAAATAAGGATACAGGTGGACCTGTTGCAACAATGAGAAGTACAAGTCGTTATGTCGAAAACGAACTTTACAACTTTGGTGGGGGGGGGGGGCGGGGAGGACTTGGTGGGGGGGCGGGGGAGGATGGGATGGGAAGGGGAAACGGAGGAGGCTACAATGCTTGATAAGAAATGTACTCATTATCTTGCCCATGTAATTGTAACCCCTCTGTACAGTAGTTTCACAATAAAAAATAAACAAATAATTTTTAAAAATTCAGGTTTTTAAATTCAATAGGCCCTTATACCACAAGATATAGTTTATGGTATGGATTCCACTATACTTATAAATTTTCCCCAAAAGAGTTCTATGATATTAGAAAAGGTCCTGTGATTTTATGTACATATCTATACACTGGTCTCTGACATAGAGTTCCTGACATAGTTTCCAAAACTCTTGTAGACAGCAAAACTTGGAGAATTGTTTGATCTAATATTTGGGTTTTGGTCCCAGCTGGTGATACACAGCTCCTAAGAACTCTGTAATTTCTGGAGTGGCAGATACATCTGATACAAAGCCTATATCTGATTAATAGAAGCATTTTTTGATCCAACAATGTTTAACTCTTCATGGACATCCGAATAGCCTCAGGATGATAATTGCTTGCCAGGGTAATGAATCACATGATTACAGGATTGTCACTTTCTGCAAAGTGAGACTGAGAAATAAAGTTAACTTTTTTCCTTTAGAGTACTGAAGTATAAAAAAATCAGGATGGATACATGGCTCATGTCTATAATCCCAGCTACTCAGCAGACAGAATTTGAGAGAATAGTACTTTAAGATCAGCTTAGGTATAAAGTTAGCAAAGATCCTCCTTAACAAATAAGCCAGATGTTGGGGCTGGGAAGGTGGCTCAGTGGTAGAGTGCTTGCCTTGCATGAGGCCCTGGGTTCGATTCCTCAGCACCACATAAACAGAAAAAGCCGGAAGTGGCACTGTGGCTCAAGTGGTGGAGCACTAGCCTTGAGCTGAAGACTAAGGGACAGCACCCAGGCCCAGAGTTCAGGCCCCATGACCAACAAAATTAATTAGTTAATTTAATTTAATTTTAAAAAATAAGCCGGACATGGTGGAGCATGATTGCCATATCAGAAACTCAGGTGGAAGGATTGTAGTCTGAAGTCAGCTGAGGGAACAAAATGAGATTTTACCTTAAAAAATAATTAAAGCAAAAGGAGGCTGAGGACATACCTCAAGTGGCAGAGATCCTGCCTTAGAAGCATGAAGCCCTGAGTTCAAATCATTGTATCACCAAAAAAAGAAGAAGGAAGAAGAGGAGAGAGGAGAGAAAAGGAAGAGGAGGAGGAGAAGAGGAAGAGGTCTCTTAAGGACCTAACCATGTAAATGCATGACATACTGTAGGTCACAAAGCTACTAAAACAAAACTGTCACTAAAATGAACCTCTGTGCTCTAGGACACAGTAGCATCCAACAACACACACAAGGATTTATATTACCCCATGGTCTGTTCAGTTAGGATAAAGCCGGCATTACCCCCAATAAGAGAATTCAGTAGCTCACCTTTGGAAGCAACATTGAGAATGCATTTGCCTACCCCTAATATGGGGTTGAGATCAGAGATTGGCTGTCTGCTAACAATATGACCACCTAAGGACTGAAAGAAAGATTAATAAGCAACTTGGGTGTTATCCTTGTGAATATTGAATTCAACACAGATGACACATTTTTCAGCTTAATTCAGTAATTAGATTAAAACATCTCCTGCTGAAGAGATTGTCTTGCACCTCTTAAAGTGTTTTCTAGGAATGACTCATCTTTTAGTTATTTACTGAATAGAAACCATGAAGACAGCAAAGATTACTTCAATCCCACCCTCTTCCCAGATCTATGTAGAAGAGGAATTCTAATGGATGGAGAACTGTCAATGGGTGGAGAATGAATTCTGTGAATGAAAGTATTCATGGGTAGCTTGCGTGGTAACTGACAAGAAATGGTGATGCAGAGTAACCTCTGCTCTTCCTGACTCACAGTGGCAGGGCAGGGCATTAGAGTGTGCATGGGGAGTATGGGAAGCTGGAGCGTAGGGGGTGAGGGAGTTGCTGAAGCAGTGTTTGGAAGAAGGACCAGGCAGCATTCCTGAGATACCAACACTTGCAAGATAAGAAGAACTGGTGTTCCCCAGCAAGGCCCTATTTAAACCACCCTCATGCAATGGCCATGAGAAAGGCAGATTCGACACAAGGCACCAGAGATGTGCTCTGTGGGCCACATGCAGTAACTACTCTGTGGTCTAGGGAAGTTATGTCTTGGGAAAGGTCATTGATGAAGATTTCATTAGTTGTAAATTTACTTCCAACAATGAATTGTACAGGACTGAGATTACCTTGGCTTGCTAAAGAGCCCCATCTACAGGTAGAACAATTAGTCTAAATCATACAGCCTAAATGTGCATGCATGTCATAGAATCTAGAAGAGGCCAGCAGAAACACAGAGAAACACAGAAACACATTCATTAAAGAAGAGGATTTTAGCTGGACCACAGAAATACTGTAGCAGTTCTGTTGTTCTGGTCTTGCTGGCAACCCAATCCAAGGACTCGCACATGGGTAGGCAAGTGCTTGGTCATTGAGTCACATCCCTGGCTCCTAATAACTCATTTACATAGAGATATTAACAGTTAACAAGGAAAACAATGTATATTATTAATAGTTTATATTTTATCTCTCTATTATTTACAGTTAATATTTCAATAGGTAGGTAAGCATGCTTCAATTGTAATATAGTATTACAAAAACTGTCAAGTAAATTGGGTGGGTCTCATACATGGGTCACCAGGCCAGTTATTTTCAATAAACCTATTAGTTATCTTTAAAAGATAACCAGTCAAAAGTCCCATTTGAAGGATAGAAGACAGACCTTTCTGGGGGCTAGGGGCTCACGCCTATAATCCTAGCTACTCAGATGGCTGAGATCTGAAGATTTTGGTTCAGAGCCAGCCCAGGCAGAAAAGTCTATAAGACTATTATCTCCAATAAACTACTCAGAAAAAGTCAGAAGTGGGGCTGTGGCTCAAGTGGTAGAGCACTAACCTTGAGCACAAGGAGGCTCAGGGATAGCACTCAGGCCATTAGTTCAAGCCCCAAGACTGACCAAAAAAAAAAAAAAAAGACCTTTCTCAACAAGATAGATCTGCGGTAGCAATTGCAGACAAAAGTCAAGTCCTGGGTGGGTGGGCATCTCCCACCCCAACCTGATCACTGAAGTAGCTTATGCCACAAAAGTATGAAATCAGGTAATCCACAAGCTAGCCATGTGAAAATGCAGCAGGATGAATACAGCAGGCAATGGAATGATCAGTGAATGATTCAGCTTTTCCTTCCTAAGGGCACCACCCCACATGGGGGCATGGAGAACCTACTGCCATGTTCCTGATCTGTTGCCCAGCCAGGGTTCGTAGGTGTTTCAGCAGAGCGCGGTACGTCTGTGTCTTCTCCTCTGGGAGCTTGGTGACCACGTCGGCTAGGATGTTCTTCACCTGTGCCAGGCTGAGGCCTGCACCCAGAGTCAGTCCTGAAAGCAAGACAGCTCTGGCGATATTCTGTAAACTTGGCCAAGAAGAGGGCAAGTGGGGAAGGCAGGCAGGCCAAGGGCAGTGCGCAACATCACCTTTCTCTCTCATAGATGTTTTATTTTCTGATTATTAAGGTAATACTCATTGCAGACCAGCTCATAAATGTGGGAAAGGAGGGGCAAAGGACAACAATAATGTGGGATTTGGCAAACACATAAAAACCATGAAAGCTGCTTTTCTGTTTTACCCAGACACTGCTCCATCACCAGATGCTGTGTGGTCCACCTTCGGCCTGCTCTCTCACTCTCTGCTCATACCAGGTGATGCCTGCAGACCTTTGTATCTCCATTCCCACCGTCTCTACCTGGCATCTCCCATCTTCCCTTTGATCTCAGCTGGGAGAAAGCTTCCCAAGTTCCTAGAAGGTTGGATCACCCTGCTATCTGCTCCTTTGACGTCAAGTACCTCGCCTGTATGCAGGAGAGGTCACAACTGCAATTTTGTGTGTTATTTGTATGACCATCAAATTATAAGTATCACGAAGGCAGGCTCTGGGCTTTTTATTTCCAACCATCACATCTTCCGTACCTTGTACTACACTTGTTTCCTTGTCTGACTTCAAGCCTTCTCCATCTGGAGGCTGAGAATGAATTCCACACCTCCACCATCATGCCTTCCTTAGTACTCCCTTCTCCATATTTCCACTCACTCATATCTGGTTCCAGGTGATTAGCACCAAATCATTCTCTAATTGAGCCACAACACCAAGCAATACTGTGAGTAAATGCTGACCTTTGACACACCATCATCCACTAAACAAAGGTTTATTACAACTACTGTGGTTATGAGCACAGACAAGTTCGCCTCTACAGAAAGTTAATGCTCAACAGGGGAAGATGGCCATAACCAGACAAATGAACAAATGATACAATTGCAGCTATGAAGAGCCAAAGCCTGGAACTTGGGTGAGTATGAGAACAGGTGCTCGCAAGCATCTGGCATTGTCGTTGTGGTGATGGTACGGAACTGCCAGACCAGAAGTCATGCCTGGGAAATAAAAAAAACTGAATCTCTTCTTAGCAAATTACCTTTCTTTGTCTTTCTGTTTCACTTTGTATTGCAGCCATGAGCTTATTGTTAGAAAGCGTTGCAAATAATTCACCATGGCTTAAGCTTCTAAGAACTTTATGGCCTGTTGGGCAGCACACCAATGTTTTAGATTCTGTTCAGGGAACATACACTCAGCAGAGGGCGCTCACACATTAATGTTGGGATGTTGGCTAGAGAGGGTTCTCTGTTGTACTTCCTGGAGGGAGCTGAGACCATTTGAGAAAAAAGGCTTGATTTTCATCAGGCAAATAAGGTTCTATTTTATTAGCCTAATAGACTACCTAAGCTATGTATCTCCTCTCAAGAATCCAAAGATTCTTTTATTATCTTTTTTAATCTAGGGAGCAGTTGACTGCTGCTCATCTACCTCCTATGGCTTTTCATATTGCGCTGTAAAATCAGGATATAAACCTGTTTGGTCTGTCTTAATGAGGCTATGATCTACTATTGAACAGAGGTCGCTGCCCTTTGAGATTACAAAACAGTATTTATTTAGCCCCAAAGCATGTTGATGACAAGATGATCAAGTTCTATATCAAATAAAGATTCTGAGAAAATGAGTTGATTCTTCAAAAGTCAGAATTGTGAAGGTGACTTGGTCCTGAAACCACAGGTAAAATCATCAATCAGTATTAATAGATTGTGTGTGTGAGCGTGTATATGTGTGTGTCTGTATGTGTGTGCCTGTGTGTTTCTGTGTCTGTGTCTGTGTGGGTCTGTATGTATATGTCAGCCTTTGTGTGTGTGTGTGTGTGGTTTCCCAATACCACCAGTCCTCTTACAGGATTTAAGATGATGAGTTGAAAGTGGGAATCTAAGCCGGGAGCTGGTGGCTCACGCCTGTAATCCTACCTATTCAGGGGGCTAAGATATGAGGATCACAGTTCAAAGCCAGCCCGGGCAAGAAAGTTCTTGAGACTCTTATCCCCAATAAACCACTAGAAAACTGGAAGTGGCACTGTGGCTCAAGCATTAGAGGGCTCGCCTTCAGCTGAAGAGCTGAGGGACAGCGCCCAAGCCCAGAGTTCAAGCCCCACAACCGACCCTCCCCACAAAAACAACAACAACAACAAGAAAAAAAACTGTAACCAGCCAGGTGCCAGTGGCTCATGCCTGTAATCCTAGCTACTCAAGAGACTGGGATCTGAGGATCACAGCTCAAAGTCAGCCTGAGGAAGAAAAGTCTGTCAGACTCTTATCTCCAATAAAATGCTTTTTAAAAAAAACAAACCAAAACTTAAAAACATAGCTGTGGCTCAAGTGGTAGAGCATTAGCCTTGAACAGGTTTTCTTGAGCAAGCTATCCAGAAATCACCTGTGTATCATCAAATTGCTACCAAATGGCCATTATCCTTAGACTTCGATCAATTACTGTGTTGTATTTTATCTCTTAATCTTTTGCATAAATGGTCGTTTGATGGAGTTAAAAGAAGAAGAAGAAGCTCAGTGACTCAGGGGCAGTGCCCAGGTCCTGAGTTCAAGTCCCAGGACAAAAACCATAACAAACAAAAGCATTGAGTTCTAAATTGTATTGTGTGTGTGTGTGTGTGTGTGTATGTGTGTGTGTGTGTGTGTGTGTGTGTGTGTGTGTGTGTTGATGGTGGATTTATGGATTTATGCTCCTTCTTGTCTCGTAGCTTTGGGACAGTCATTGAAATTGGATCTGCCTAGTTGGAGAAGGAATAGACCATCTGCCAGTGAATATGCTTGTGAGGGAAGATACAGCTTAGAGATAGCTGGATGGCTGGACCTGAAAGCATTTGTTGAATGCCAGATCTGTGCAGAAAACTGAGTCTCTAAAGAGGATGTATGGTCTTTAATGGGATTTTCTGTATTTAGAGGATATTCTTTGAAAAAATATCTATGTGGCTCAGTCTAACAGTGCCAAATATGATTTGGCAAAATGAAATAGCTTTTGTTTCCTTTAAGCAAATGGTTTATAACACACAGACCTTATTGTAACAAATAGAGAACACACCTTCTTTTGTCTTTGATATTGTCAACAATTCTGAGATCCTTGCAGGGGAGATGATAATTGGATAGAAAACACCTTTGAACTTCATGTCAGGTCCTAAGAAAGGGAGAACAATTATGATTAGCAGGAAAGAAGCCAACTAGATTTTATTTTTTTTAAAAAAGCTAGGCAAAGGAAGGTTACCTTTTTCCTTAGTAACTTCCCACATATTGGGACTTACTAATCATTTTTTGATTTTTGTCTCTAGAGACATCTGTTTTACTTGAAGAAACAGAAAATTTAACCCCAGAAAAACCCAATTACATTCTACAGTGGGAATGACAGGCCAGACTACTCATTAGGTGCCAGAGAAATTACATGATAAACTGGCCACTCACTTGAGAAAGAGTGAGGTGGGGATTTGAATTATGTGGTAAGGATTTTGATGTGTAAATAGATGCCACAGCTTCTACCCCAGTTCAGGAATTTAGGTTTCCATATGGAAGTAGAGTGGGAGTCTGCTACTCACCGAGAGCAGTGTTCCCCATTACAAGAGGAGCATTGGGGTACTCTGTTTTTAGTTCCAGGAGGTCTCTCAGCGTTCCTGGGATAATCCAGGTAATCCTCTCCCCATGAAATGTCAGAATTTTCTTTTGAGGATTCTCTAACATCCTCTGCAGTATTTAAATTGAGACATAATATTATATCAGTGACAAAACACATCGATTTCACTACAGACCACCAAACTCAAATGAACAGCACCTGCTATAACTAAAACAAGACACTTGTACAATGTTGACCTAGTCAACTTATAATTAAATCCCCCTGAATTGTATATGTCTCTTCTCATCTCTTACAACTTAATCAATCAACGTGCATTTCAATTAAATATTAACATAGAAATAAACAGGAAATAAAGATGCATCAGGAATGAGATTTCTAATGTCAAATAAGTATTGACAAATAATGATAGAATATCCATGGAAAATGAACTATTTTGTGTCTGACAGCTGTGTGCTATTTCTTATCAGGTTAAGTGTGTAGCAAATGCTATTACATATGCTGAAAACACAGAAGACCCATGTTCTAATTCCAGCCAAGTCACTAAGTTGCCAGATGAAAATTCTGGAAAATGTTTGAACCTTGCTAGGTCTGGCATACTTTAGTTGAAAATTGGAGTTTTAGCTAGATGACTTAGAAAGGTCTTTTGGCTCTCAGAGATCACTGAAGCATGTGATTAGGAAATACAGTAAAAAAACATAGAATGTCCAATTTATCAAAGCCAGCGGGACCTTTTTCTCACAGATTTTACTGTTTACTAAACAAGATTGAAAGATTTCAGAAGTACAGTTTACACGTGGGACTTAATCAGCAAAAATAGCTAATGGACAGAACTTCTTTATATTTTTCTCTAATCAGTTCCTCTAAAATCAATGACTGTGGTAGGTAGCCACAGATATAAACAAGAATGAAATAAATATTTATGAGGGTAATTTAGAAATATTGACCATACTTAGTAGAGCAGCCTTTTCACCTCCTTTACTTCTTTTCTTTCTTCCTTTCCCTCCCTCTCCCTTGCTGTTTCTCCCTCTCCCTAGCTCCCTCTCTCCCTACCTCCTACTCTTGCTCCCTCCCCTCCCTCTCTCTTCCCCTCCCTTCCTTCCTTCCTTCCTTCCTTCTTTACTTCCTTCCTTCCTTCCTTCCTTCCTTCCTTCCTTCCTTCCTTCCTTCCTTCCTTCCTTCCTTCCTTCCTCCTTCCCTTCCTTCCTTCCTTCCTTTATTTTTGTGCCAGTTCTGAGGCTTAAACTCAGGGCCAAGGCTGAGCTTTGTTTGGTCAAGAATAGCACTCTTACCACTTGATCCACAGCTCTAGTTCTGCATTTTTATAGGTAGTTTATTGGAGATAAGAGTCCCACAAACTTTCCTTTCTGGGCTGGCTTTGAATTGAGAGTCTCAGATCTCAGCCTCCTGAGTAGCTAGGGTTACAGGCCTGAGCCACTGGTGCCTGGTGTCTTCTGTGGTTTTGTTTGACGTCTGTGCTCTCCATTTTGATTCATTCAGGGATCATTTAACACGCTAATACTTTTTTATGTCTCAAATTTTTTCCTATTCCACTAAAGCTACTTAGAGTTGTTACCATATAGGGTGGTCAGGAAAGAATACGACATTTGAGGGAAACCCCTGATATTTAGGTACTCTTTCATGTAAGCTAATCTGGGAAATATAAGTCTAGTTTTACAGGAATGAAAAAGACACTTCCCAAATTGGGAGAGTAACCTGGTCAAGGTGCCACAGATGGTTAATGTGAACAGGACAATGAATCAAGGGCTCAAGGTTCCTTGCCTGGAGTTCTCTGAAAGTGAAATTCTGGCATGCATCTGGAGATGCATGACTAAGCAATTTCTACTGGCTAATAATAAACAAGAGAACTATTTCTTAAGCAAGAACAGAATTGCTTAATGTGTTTGAAATTCACTTCAAAAGCATCTTTGCTATTGTAAAAACTATTTTGCTCTCTGTGGGAGCATCCAAAGGGAAAATATTTTGGTAGAATTTCTAGGGTTCTGTAGACTGAGTGATTTCAATGTTGAACAGAAGTCAAGGCAAAGGCTGCTGGAATAAACAGAAACTAAAGGTAGCTTGGCTAAAATGCACATTTCATTTTCCATAAAGATTCAGTAAAGGTTACATTAGGTCATGAGAAATGGAAGACCTTGAGAATGGGTGAACTCTGATTAATAAAATAATTCATGTATTTTCATTAGGTGAGGATAGCACTTCTCAAAATACAGCCCAAGAATTTCTGGAGGCCCCTGAAATCCTTTTTAGGAATCCCAAGGTCAAAGCTATTTTATGAGTCTAAGAGTGGAGTTTTACAAAGGCTACACAATACAACCAGAGGAAATCAGAAGCAGATATCTGAATCTTGCTGCCTTCTCTTATGCCAGTGTTGAAGAGCTTTACAAAATCTAAAACAGTGCCACTTTTCCATTGATTTTTCTTTGGAAAAATACAGTTACTATTCATGAACATATGCCATTTATTCTAATGAGCTTATTTTATTTATAAAGAAATAAGTAAATGCAGGCTGGACGTGGAAGCCCTTTTATATAATCCCAGCTATTTAGGAGGATTGTGGTTGGAGGTTAGACCAAACAAAAAGTTACTGAGCCTGCCATCTCAACAAACTAAGTGGTTGTTGAGGTTCACATTAGTAATCCTAGGTATGCTGTAGGCACAAATAGATTGATCAAGGTGGAGGGTAACCTGGGAAAAATGCAAGATGCTAGTAAAAAAAAAAAAAGGTCTGGGGTGTGGCTCAAGAAGTGGAACACCTGCGTAGCAAAGCACAAGGGTGCTGAGTTCAAAGCCTAGTATCGCACAAAAAAGAAAAGAGAAAAAGAAAGGAATAAAAATTTCATTTATTTATATTTTTTTGCAGTTTTAATTTCAAATACTGCAAGCATCAATGGATATAACCCACATGAACAAAGCTCTTTAGGGCTAGTATAAATTTTAAGGTATAAAGGGCTCTGAGAATCTCAAGATTCTCTGGATGAGCCAACAGTGTCAGAACCAGCTTTCAGCCTTTCCCTCACAGAGTGAGCCAAAGGCAGTCCTGGGGCACATGGAAACCCTACACCGGGTAGGCAGAGTTCATGGGATCAAAGAACAGTGGGTCATGTTGTCTTCATTCCAAGCCAGAGTGACTCCGAGGGAGGCCTAGAGGAATTGTTTTGTTTTATTTTTAAAAGATCAATGTTTAACCTGTGCTGGCTGATAGAGAACAAGAGACTGGGAGCTTGGAGCTGCCCTGCTGACTTTAGTGTATGTCCTGAACTTTCCTGGGAACTTAATAAAGATACTTGGGCCACGGGAAGGGAGAGAATGAAGAAAGGGGAGATACTGGTCAAGATGCATTGTACTTGTAAGCTGACATACTGAGTGGTAACCCCTTTGTACAACTACTTAAATTAAAAAAAAATAAATGCCTTGTATAGTACACACACACACACACACACACACACACATACACACTTGTGCCAGAATGATCATGTGACATGCTGCCTTGACATTGAGGTTAGGAAAGACCAGGGGCCTTCTGAGTCTACCTGAGACAGAGTCTTCAAAAACCATGTCCCATAGCTCTCTGAGAGTGACAGTAATGCACAGTTACGCATGGAGGCAAAGGGTGGCAGAAGCCTGACAGTACTTGAGGAGCCCCTCCATCCCCCCCCACCCCCGCAAGTGCACTAAGGCAAGGAGAAGGCCAGGAGAAAGAGAACAAACCATTAGCTCAGGAGGGAATATAAGCTCTTGAGTTGGATCCAATGGTTGAAATTCTTCTTTCTCATACAATTTGGCACAGACCTTAAGAAAGAAAATTGTGTTTTAGTCTTTGAAAAAAAAAACAGAGACAAAGATCAATAAGCATCTTGGTGCTTGGTAACTTTTCAGTATTGAGTATCCCCTCTTTGAAAGGCTTAGACTGGGGCCTGGGGATCAAAACAATGAGATAGGCCAGTCCTTTGGTTCCACCCTGGCTGGCAAAGCCTGGAGAAGGCTGGGCCAGGAAGCAGAAAGAAAGTGGCAACTATGCGCTTGACCCCGGGACCAGCTGGAGAGCTAATTACCCTGAGTGGCAGCAGAAGCCAAATGCCCTGGAGTGGCGCAAAGAGCAAGTTCCCTGGCTCCACAGACCAGGATCTGTGAAAGCTCCTGAAAGATGGAGACACAGACGCCTAAGGGAGGCTATTCATGGAGTGCAGAAAGAGGTCAGGCAAATTCCCTTGAACCCAGGGGAGAAGCAAATAGGAGGAGGGGGAGATGGGACATATGGACCACGGGAAGCCTTTCAAGCAGGCTTTAGCTCTGACATGGCATTTGGGAGCCAGCAGGACCCACTCAGCATTTTGGAGCCAGCGTTTCTGGGAAATAATTTTTTCTGTAGTCTACAGTTGTTTCCAATTCCAGGCCTGCAGACTGACTGCCTCTGCCTGCTGGGAGGTTTGTAAAAGCTCAGAGCGAGTCCTAGGCCACTTTCCAGGAGGATCTAATTCAGAAAAAGCAAGAGAAGAATCTCAATCAAAAGTTTTAGAAGCTTTATAAATAACGTGTGTGTGTGTGTGTGTGTGTGTGTGTGTGTGTGTGTGCAAATCCTGGGCAATGTTCTTAGCTTTTTCACTCGAGTGGCAAGCTGCCACTTGAGCCGCAGTTCCATTTTTTTTCACTTTTTTGCTGATTAATTAGAGATTAGAATCTCATGGACTTTCCTGCCTGGGCTGGTTCTGAACCGTGATCCTCACATCTCAGCCTCCTAAGTAGCTAGGATTATAGACATGAGCCACTGACACCCAATTTATAAGTAATTTTGGGAGATTTTTGGAACTGTGCCCTGAGTTGGGTTGGAGGAGGAACTCACAATCAATTTCAGATAAAAGAATAGAAGAAGAAAAGGATTTGGGACTCATTTATGGAGATGTTATCTTGAGTCTCAGGAACAAGAAAGGATTAGGGGAGGCAAGCGCAGAAGAGCTTGGCTAGAAAGGAGACAGGAAAGAAGACAGAGAGAGGCAGGCCACAGCAAGCTGTCTCTATGGGAAAAGCTGTGTCACAGATGAAAGACAGATTCAACCCATGCTAGTTTACATGGGGAACTTACAGGACAGCACATCTCAGCTCAGAACAAAACAAGGCTTTCTAACATGTCTGCCCCAGGACTACCAAGGCCAGTTCTGACCACAGTTCTAGGAAGTTTTGCCCCTGTATTTACCAGATCTCACAGGAATCCAATGTGTCAGAAAAAGTAGCTGAAGAATCAACAATATGGTAGCAATGGCTTGAAGAATTATGCCAAGCAATCCATCAGCTCTTCCATAACATCATTTTTTAGAAACTGAATCTGAGAAATCAGAGGCCTGCCACACCCTCAGTTGCATTTCTATGGGTGTCAGAAACACTGAATGGGGGGTCAAGGAGCCCATTCCCACATTTCTGCTGGGCTTCAGATCACTGAGGTCCCATTCTGGTTCCCTCTTCCCATGTCACCCCCAGAGGCAAAGACCACTCCGGTCCTGAACTCCACAGGCTTTTGAGCATTATATCTCAGAGTTCTCTGCTCCAAAGGCCCCCAAGGCACTCTATGTGGGCCTATGTTCCTCTCCTCTCAGAGAGGAAACGTGCCTGGGCTTCAGCCAAGGGGTGGGTGATTGTGGAATGGAGGGCATTCAGACATGTAAGCTGGGTGTGAATCTGTGATTCCAGCCATGTAGGACAGAGCTAGGTAAGAAGAGGAAAGAACTGGAATAATCTACTTGTATTCTTGCTTTGTGCCTGTAAATGTCAGGGGCAGGCCTGGCCTTTCTGTCACTCCAGGAAAGTATCTTTGGTAGCTACTATGTAAACCAGTCTTTCAAGTTTTTACTTTTTCTTCACCCTTTAAACTAGGAATCAAACCAACCTGGATGTGTTTTTGCTGAGATTACAATATCATCCATAAGATTTTAATACATTTTTCATCTATGTGCATTTACTAAAAAAAAACAAAACCTCTAGCTGGGTGACTCATGCCTGTAATTCTAGCACTTGGGAGGCTGAGAACAGGAGCATTGTGGTTTGAGGCCAGCTTGGGCAGAAAAGTTTGGGAAATCCATTCTCTACCCATAGCTGGGTGAGGTGGTATGCACTGGGCATCCTAAGCCTTATGGGACACTGAAAGGTGAGATTAGGAGGACTGTGATACCAGGTAAGTCCAGGGAGAAATGTTCATTAGATTCCATGTACATGGAGGTGCCTTTGATCTCGAGCAACCTAAGGGATGCCTAAGTCAGAGTTGAGGTTCATGAAAAACAGAGCTGGAGGCATAGATTAGCAGTATTGTGCCAGCCTAGCAAACATGAGTCTCTGAGCTCAAGCCCTACTACCACAAGAAAAAGAAAAGAAAACAAGAAAATCAGGTCTAGCTACTGAAAATTTTATACAAATAAGTAACATTTCTTAATAACATAACTGTACAAGGATAACCACCATTAGTTTTTATATCTATATATAGAGATACATGTCTTTCTATATATCCGTCCTTTATTCTCACTCGGTATATATGTGTTTATATTATATATATTGATAACATTTTTCAATTTGTACCTACATAACAAAGTTACATAGTGTAATTACGCCATGATACATTAGGCAATCCCGCACTGTTAAAACATTCAGGTCATCTTTAATTGTCATTACTATAAAAGCATTTTGACCAATACCTCCATATAATGAAGATTTCCCCTACTTCTGATTATGCTCCCAGAGTAGATTTCTGGCAGTGGCATTGTTGGGTCAAAGAGTGTGTATATAGAAACATTTAAATTCTTAATACTAATTCTATTGCCTTGGTGAGCTATCATTGCCAATTTGACTAATCAGATGCTTCTGAACCTTAGTCATTAGGACATTGGTACATGTTTAGCAGTAGACTTGGGACTTCATGTACATGATCTATGTCTATCATTTATTCTTTCCAAATCTAAAACTTCTGGGATTATTATCCCAATTAGATTGAAGAAAACCATGCCCTTTTGTTCTAAATGAATTATCACCATGCTGGTACCATCTCTGAGAAATTATTATTTCCTGAAGGCCCAGGTCAGGTCAGGGGATCCTTTGCTTCTACAAAAACCTGGGTAGAGAGTAAAGGCAACGGGAAGAAAGAAGTGGAAAGCCTGGGAGAAAGACAACTGTTTTTTTAGAACCCCTGAGCTTTTGAAACCAGCCCCTTGTTAGCTGGATGGGAAGGACTGAGACCAAATATGAGCTGGAGGTAAATAAAAGAGGAAAGGAAAAGAAAGACTTACATTGGATTTGTTCTCAGGTTTATTTTCTTTTTGATCCAAGCAACATCTCCCTTTTTCATTCATTTGGCAGCAAGATGAACTCTATAAAAGAAAAGAAGGATGGAAAAATCAGAGAATCATAGCGTTGTGAAATAACAGAAAAGAGAAGGAAGAGGATTTGATATGCTAGGACATCGATGTTTACCCTTTCCAAATCATGTTGAAATGTAGTTGCCAATGTAACAATTAGGAGTCAGGGTCTCTAAGAGGTCTCTATCCTCACCAATGGACCAATGCCATTATAACTGGAGTGAATTGCTACCTAAAGGACAAGTTAGGTCTCCTTTTGCCTCTCCCTTATGGTCTCTTTTTCTTCCACCATTGAATGCTTTCTACAATGCTGTGATGAAGCCAGAAGGCTCTCACTGGATGCGCTCCATGATGAACTTCCCAGAATCTGGAACTGTGAACCAATACATGTCTGTTTATTATTAATTACCCAGACTATGGTATTCTGTTATAGTAACATACAATGGACTAAAGATATGTTGAAAAAAGAGACAGAACCAACCCTGAGGTTGGACTTGTAGCTTAGGTGGTAGAGCCCCAGCCAATGAGCCAAAGAAAGTATCAGTTTGAGTCCTGGTCTTGGACCAAAAATGAAAGATATGATGAGCGTGGTAGTAAATATATTAATTGTGGCTTCTGTTTTGTTAAGCTTTCATCATCTTCCCAGTATGATGCTTTATGCTTTGCAGACATGATATAGTTTTAATTCTTGTAGTCAGAATCTTATTTTACAGATAAGACACTGATATTGAACAGCTGGTTTTATGTTCAGAGAGGACAGGCATTCATTTGATTAGCAGTTAGCTCAAGGGAGCTAATATAGGTAAAAGAGGGAAGAAAAAAGGCTCACATTGGATTTGTTCTCAGACTTGTTTGGGATTAGGCCTCACTTCAGAATTCTTCCTGCTTCCCAGTCCAAGAGCCCTGCACTTAACACTGGCCCATTTTTTTTTTTATCTCTGTGCTCATCTGACTCAGTGACTAAGATCATTAGAATGAATTAAATCATGTTTAAACTCTTCAGGAAATGGAAAATAAAGTATAGGTGACAATGGAAGCTACTTAGAGTCTGTACCTTTAAAGCAGTGAATGAGTGAGTGAATGACTTGAGAAGGAATCAGCAAACAAATGAATACAGTATTTTCCATTGGTTTTATTTCTCCAGTTCAGATAGGTGGTAGTAGTAACATTTGTTAAGTTTTCCACAGAGTGATAAATGTTTTACATGCTAACATGACCACTTTGCTCATGTGGCTCTCTAGTTTCCATCTTTCATCTTTGATTTGGTCATTTTTGCATGTCCCCTTTTGTCACCAACTTAAGTTGTTCTCACATTTCCATTTCTTTTAAAGAATCCAAGACTTCATACATCTCTGGATATATTATTTCTGTAGTTTATGAAGTATATCTTTATAAGAAAACGATTTGATTTTTTATTATGGAAGGTTTCATATAGTCTTTCTTTGATATTTGCTATAACAGGGCTTTGGGGGAGAGGGGCGGGGGGAAGAAAGTAGAAGAGAGTAGTATAATAAAAGCAAAATTGGTTTATGTCCCAAGTTCACAGGGATCTTGAAATTCTTCTGACTTCCCACATAGCTTTCATTATTCATAATGAGTCCCTTTTGACTATGCTTGGCTTTATCCTATGAAGTGGCTTAGGCTGGGACTATAGAAAGTCTCAGGATGATGCTAGTCAATGGAAACACCAAGTGATCAGAGAGCTAGAACTTTCAGTCCTACCTACCTTCATCTGGGCAGATAGGGGCTAGAGATGGAATTCAATCTATTGAGATGGAATTCTTGCAAAAGAGGTTGAAGAGATTTGAGTTGGTGACTGTATCAGTATGCTGATCTACCTCAACTCCAAGACTCTGGACCCTTCTGGACCTTACTCTATACAGATCTTCATCCGTTTCCTTTATAGTAGTCTTCAGAATAAGCCAGCAAACTTAAGATTATTTCTTGAGTTCTATGAGCCATTGTAACAAATTATGGAACCCGAGGCAGGGGGTGAGGGGACTCCTGATTTGTTGTTGGTAGGTGAGACATACAGGAGGCTGGCACTTGCAACTGATGGATGGAGACAAGGGAAATCATGTGAGATCGAAACTTCAACTTGTGGGCTGTGACACTAACTCCAGGTGGTCAATGTTGTAATTGGCTTAAATTGTAAGACACCCTGATGGTGTCCAGAGAGTTGGGGAATTGCTAGGTGTGGAATAAGCCACATATCTGGTGTTAAAAGTGTTCTGTTGGAATGTGGGAAAACACTGTGTATCTTGAGTGAAGGGACTTCAGAGGGCATGGGTAGGGGGAGGGTTAAGGCTGATGCTCTGTGCAAGTTGCTTGGTGGAGATTGATTCCAAGTAATGTGAAAGATGGAAATGGCTTCTCTGCTCTTCCCCATCAACCACCAGCGTATTAATCAGAGGGAAGCACATTCAGAAAGAACATAGCATTTATTTGCTGAAAATGTTCCACTTTGGCTATGATTCAACAAAATGTGCTTGCTGAAGTGACAGTATGAGAAATAACTTTTCCTGTTTTTTTTTTTTCCCTATAATAAAGTAAGATGTTAGGAGGATTGGTCTAATCTATTTTCACTTAGAGTGTGCTATTTTATAAACTCTGCCTTCAAAAAATCTATTACAGGGCTGCTACCTGTCTACATGTCTGAAAAAAAAGCCCTAGTTATATTTACCAAGATGAGCAAAATGGCAGACCTTTCTCCTTGATGGGCCAGCACTATGCTTTTCTTTGAAACCAATTGAGGGGGACACACAGAACGGGGGCTAATGCTTTGCTACTAAACTAGAACTGCTGGCTCAGCAGTTGCTAGTTACTTTATACTCACGGAAATAAAACTTTTCCCACTCTCCACAATGGGTCTGTATCCAGTACAGCGACATAAATTGCCTGGGTGGAAAGAAATAGAGTGTTTCAAATGAAACCCAATTTCTCTACATTTGAAATGTCTGCCTCATTCATCCTAGCTCTCATTCACTGCTCCCTCACACTGCCCCCACCCCCAGTCATGTAAATCTCACATGTACACGGACATAAGGTCATCAGATGTTATTTCTGATACATTTCTGGGGTGTACTCTTTATTTGGGAGTGCTGGTATGGAGGGTTGAATTCAGGTCATGAGCTCCTGAGGTCTAGCTTGGGCACTGTACCTCTTGAGTCACACCTCTACTTCTAGGTTTGTGCTGTTCAATTGGAGAAAAGAATCTCATGTATTTTTCTGCCTGAGCTAGCTTTGAACCTTGATCCTCAGATCTCAGCCTTCTGAGTAGCAAGGATTACAGTGTCTGGCTGGGGTTTATTCTTTTTTTTTTGGTCCAGTCATGGGGCCTGAACTCTGGGCCTGGGCGCTGTCCCTCAGCTCTTCAGCTCAAGGCGAGAGCGCTCTACCACTTGAGCCACAGAGCCACTTCCGGCTTTTTTTTCTTTTTGCTTATGTGGTGCTGAGGAATCGAACCCAGGGCCTCAGGCATGCGAGGCAAGCGCTCTACCACTGAGCCACCTTCCCAGCCCTGGGGTTTATTCTTAGAAAATTAAAAGAACAGAAAAATCAGTGAAGAGAAGACAGAGAAAGCCTCTGTAAAGGGATCCAAGTCACATGCTAGGATGTGCACATCTTGTGAGCAGAGTACTGACTGCTTTGGGCCCAGAACTTTCTGTTCAAGGATGCTCATAGAGTGAAGAGCCTTGGAAGATAGGCAGTGCCTTCATGAAGACAAATGGGCAGGGATGGTGATTTCTAGGGTAATATAGATTCAGTCACCTCTGAGAGTCTTACCACCCATTTCAAAGTGCCTTGAAGTCAGGGTTCCCCTCCTGCAAATATAGCCCAATGACCACGCTGGCATCAGATTGCTCTCTTTATATTGCCTTAAAGGAGTGGTGACAAATGCTCCTACTATTGTTATACTAGCATGATGAGTAATAAAGTCCTATGTCTCTGACCCAGGGATCTCCTGTCTTCTGTCAGAAGCTGTCAAACTGTACCAGACTGTACTTGTTAGCTTGTAGGTAGGATGAAATCTCAACCCTTTTCGGTTCTTGACAGGCACTAGATGGTGTTCTTATCAAAGGAACTGCTGCTGACACTGACAGACTGAAGGAATACTGCTTATAGAAAGCATGTCCAGGATATAAGACCTTAATCTAATCAGGTGTTTCTGTACTCTCGTTATTTCTGTGTCCTTTTATTCTATTGGCTCTATTTAAGGGAGAGGAGGTCATAGATTAGTTGAGAATCTGATGATATTTCTTTTCTGTGAACATACATACAAAATGTGTGGGTTCATTGATCCCCTAAAGACATTAGACAATCATAAATTAGAATCTCTGTTCAGGGATGATTTTTCCCAAGTTTTAGGCCTATTGGGTTACTCAGCATACAGTTAGCAGTCATTAAGGACTCTGGAAGGGAACATAATTAAATTAGAGAAAGAAAGAGTTAGGAAACCAAAATATTCATAGATGACTATGAAATCAAAGGGGATAGTACTTATATTGGGGAAAAGGACTGTTGGTAAAAGAAGTCTTGTTACATCTCCAGAAAAAAATGACTAGGAAAAAATGGTCTTAGAATAGTAATAATTTTCATATAAGGTAGATAAGAGCATGGATTCTATAACCAGACTGTCAGGTTTCAAATCTTGGCTCTTTCATTCATTGGTTATACAATCTTGGGCAGTAATTTTACCACTCTGTAATCAGTTTCTCTACAACTGGCACATACCCAGTATTTACCATCGAGTGATATACTTAAGAAAAGTGCCTATCATGGTGGTATCTAGATGTCCAGGCACAAACTTTTAAACAGAAAACTTGCCATTTTGGTGTAATAAGGCTACTGATGTCTGACACATATCCCCAAAGCTTTGAGAGATGAGACCCAATCATGGGATCTGGCACTGTTAAAAGACGAAAAAGAACAAAAGAGACAGAGGCCATATGATCACCAAGTATATACCTGAGAAGAAATCCAGGAACTCACAGGAAAGAAAGAGACCATTTTGGTGAGAAGTTAAAGAAGCACGGAAATTGACCTGTGGCTCTTTTATTCATCACTCATGGACGGCAATGCTTGCTGCAGGTAATTGTCCAGATTCACTCCTACTTTTCTTAAACTTACTATTTGTGTGCATGTGTAGAGGTGGGGAGGTACTGGGGCTTGAGCTCAGAGACTTGTCATCTTACTTGTCCTCCCCCACTGCAAAGTCTAGTGCTTTACTATTTGAACCTCCTTCACTTCTGTAATTTTGCTGGTTAATTGGAGATGTGTCTCTCAGAGTTAACAGCCCAGGCTGGTTTTCAACTATAACCTTCAGATCTCAATCTCCTGAGTAGCTACTACTGGTCTAAACCTGATTATTTCTTTATTAATTAATTTATCATCTTAAGGTTATCTACTAATAGCTATACAAAGGGATTTCAACTCAATATGTCAGTTTGTGAGTACAATGTATTTGATCAATGTCATCCCTTCCACTATTCTCCCTTATCTGTCCCCACCCTATCCATCCTCTTAAATTACCTGGCTCCATTTTCCTGTAAGTATATTGCATATTATGATTGTATTCAACCACCTTCCTCTCTCCATTCATCGGTCCTCCTTGCCTTGCCCTCACTCACCTCTACCAAAACATGCTTCAGCGTCTTGGTATTCTTTTTATTAAAAATGATAAGTTAGGTCTTCAAAGAAGTTATATCATTGGAATCCTCCCCTGTGTATACCATATACTTATCAATTTGCTAGACTTAAGAGTCTCTGGTTCTGAACCTTCTTTGCCTTCTGATATCTGCTTTTAGTTTCTCCACTTTCAACAAAATGCTAAAATGCTCTAGTCTCTCCATTTTCAACAAGATATTCCCTGAATCCAGCCTCCTTTTTGGTTCTTGGGTCTGATTGAACACTGAGCTTCAGCTCTGGTTCTGGAAAGCATTTGAGCCACAACTTCACCCTACCAGTTGGACTAGCATCTAATTCCTGGAGGGAGTTGGACATCACAGGAAAGCAGCCTCAACAAAAGGTGCGACTGGAGCGTCTTTAGACAAGGATGGTTAAAAACGGGAACCGAGGAAGACTACAGCTGCGAAAGCATCGTGTAAGAACTCACGTGTGAAAAGTCTACCTTTTATACAAGAAGAAAGGGGGGGAAAGGCAAAAAAAATTCTCAAAATTAGGATACTGCTACAATGAACTAAGGCTATCAAACAGATCACTTGGCCATGATGTGAAAGTAGCAAGATGTTAGGTCAGAGTGTCTCTCTGAAGAATTCTGGCTCTACTTCAAAGACAAAGTGTGCAAGAAGCCAAGTTTAAAAAGAACAGTGTGTGAAGAAATAAAACAGTACACAGAGCATGGAAGGGTCCAGAGATGAGGTTTGGAAGATAGGATTGCAGAGGAGGAAGAAATAAAGGGAGGGCAGTAATCAGATTGCTTTCTTACCAGCAAAAATGAAGAAACAAGATGAAGAGATGACGGAAGCCATGAGACAGAACTGGAGACGAAGGGAACAGTGTGGCCCAGAGCAATGGCAGATTGGCTAAGTGCCAGGCTGAGATTTTGTACAGAATACAATCAATGACAAAATGCATATTAAAAAAAGAGAACAAATCCACTGTTCAGAGAAGATGGAGAGAACTATATCACTCCTATTTTGTTACCATATTGCTCACCAAAGGAATGCCTGGTAAACTAAAAGCACCAGATAAGCCTAGCTAAAAAGCTATGAAGTTCAAGATACATGGAGATTTTTAAATTGCACTTAGCCTTTTAAAATGTCTCATGACATGAAAGTAACTTGTAGCTGAGATGATCAATAATCTTTTTTAGATATCATAGTAAACAAAAGCAGTCCCAGAATACTAGAGACAAGCAACCATTGATTCTGGTGGATTTTGTTTGGGGCCAGTCCTGGAATTTGAACTCAAAGCCTGGGCACTGTCTCTGAGCTTTTGTGCTCAAGGCTAGCACTCTATCACTTGAACCACAGCTCCAGCTCCAGCATTTTGACAGCTTCTTGGAGATAAGAGTCTCATAGACTTTCCTGCCCTAATTGTCTTTGGAATGTGATCCTCAGATTTCAGCCTCCTGAGTAGCTAGGATTGTAGGCATGAGCCACCAGCACCCAGCTTGGTTCTGTTTGTTTTTTTTTTAAACAAGATGGATGGTAGGCAAAGTTCAGTGGCTCATTCCACTTTAAGCTACTTGTGAGGCAACATTAGGAAGACTGAGATTTGAGGACAGCCTAGACAATAAGCTAAGAGTAATGGTGTACATCTGTAATCCCAGTTACTTGAGAGGCATAGATAGATCACAACCCCAGGCCAGCCCCAGGCAAAGAGCTTTACTGAAAAATAACTAAAGCAAAATAAAAAAGAGATTGGGGTATAGCTAAGGCTGTAGAATACTTTCCTAACAAGCATAAGGCTCTGCATTCAAATCTTGGTACTACCAAAGACCAAACAAACAGATAGATAAAAAAGGTGAAGTTGACCTCTGTCCAGCAATTCTTTGGGTCTGTTCTGAATTGGATTACTGAAGACAGAAAGAATCTGGGAACAGTAGTCCCTAAGAAGAGATTGGGTACTCAAGAAAGCTATCCTCTTTCCTTTGGGGATGAGAAACTTGGATTAACAATCTGCTCAAAGCAATCAGCACAGTGTATCAGGACCTCAGGAGGCATTGGACCTTATCAGTTGGTGGAGAGGAGTAGAAGGCAAATACATGATTATTTTTTAAAAATGATTCTTGATTAAACGATAGTTTGGTATTAGCATCATTGATTAATTTTCTTTTAATTCTTTGCTTAACCTACTGTGTTCAATATTTTAGCTGACAACTTGCATAAAGACAGAGGTAATGTTTACCAGATTTCCAAATATCAGAATAGAAATTACATTCTTTGGCAAGCTAGAATGCCCATTTATGTAAAAAAAAATTGGGGAGGGGTCTGGTCGTGGGGGCCTGAACTCTGGTCCTGGGCGCTGTCCCTTAGCTCTTCAGCTGAAGGCTAGCACTGTACCACTTGAGCCACAGTCTCACTTCCGGCCTTTTTTCTGCTTATGTGGTGCTGAGGAATCAAACCCAGGGCCTCAGGCATGCAAGGCAAGCGCTTTTCCACTGAGCCACCTTCCCAGCCCTGTAAAAATTTTTAAAGCATAAAAGTGTTCCGAAAAGAACAAAGAAGGAGAAATACTACTTTAAAAGTCTTGAAGCCATTTCAATCAAATTCTTGTAAGTGTCTGAATCACAAGCAATTTCCCTATTAATTCTAAGAGTGTGTGATTCTGTGAGAATTAATTATACTTGAATAACAACTGCAGCACAACAGCCACAACAACAAACACAAACAAAACACCACAAAAACAATCCCAAGGTCACTGATTCTTTTGGTTAATTCTAAGTGTATAATTGAAGTCCTAATATTTCCAAACACTATTTCAATATGATTGCAGGCACATCAAACACACCCACACAGACTGTTTCAATTAAGTATTTGCTACTCAATTCTATATAATACATCAGTTACCGGAAACAACTGATACAGTGCCAACCAACCATGTAATCTCCACATGGGAAACTCACTTTACTTCCTTACTGAGGCTGGGTGCCTTAATTTCTCCTCCTGCTAAATAAGGATAGACAGCACTTGGATACTATGTAAGAAATATAGATCATAAGGGTCAAGGAGCACATTTCAGTCATATCCTCTGGCCCAGTTCCTTGCATGGAAGGCTCTAACATCCCTGGTCCTTTTTTAGGGATGGGAATAAACTTTCTATAATTAAGGAGGTTCGTGGCTTACCACTCAAAGATTCCATTAGCTGCTCTGTGGACGGTTGTGGGTGATTCCTTAGGAGAGTGTAAATACTCATCACCATGCCTGGGGTGCAGAATCCACACTGGGTGCCATGGCCTTTGGCGATCCTTTCCTAAAGAACATGAAATTCAGGTGTAGGACCCTTCAGAAAGGAAGCAGAAGCATTTTCTCTGACTACACGTGGTACAGGGCCTGTCAGGTAATAACCAGTAGTGCTGCTGATCACATTTATGATGCAAAGTGAAGCTTTCTGTGAAAAGACTTAATCGAGATAGCTGAGGAAGGAAGTGCTCAATGACAACCTGGTGCATTACTTCCCAGGGTACAGTTCAAAGCCAATCAAAACGATAGAAACAGCTGGGCGCCGGTGGCTCATACCTGTCATCCCTGCTCCTTAGGAGGCTGAGATCTGAGGATCGCAGTTCAAAGCCAGCCCGGACAGGAAAGTCTGTGAGACTCATTTCCAATAAACCACTCAGAAAACTGGAAGTGGCACTGTGGCTCAAGTGGTAGCCTTGAGCGAAGAGGTAAGGGACAGCATCCAGGCCCAGAGTTCAGGCCCCACAACTGACAAAAATAGAAACAGAAATGAACTACTTTTAAGATTTCTTTTTTTCCAGGTGGGTGGTGTCATTTGTGAGGCTTGAACTCAGGGCCTGGGAGCTGTCCCTGAGTTTTTTTGCTCAAGGCTAATAGTCTACCACTTTGAGCCACAGCTCCATTTCTGGTTTTCTAGTGTTAATTGGAGAAAAGCGTCTCACAGGCTCTGAATTGCAATCCTCAGATTTCAGCCTCCTGAATAGTGATGATTACAGGCCTAGCTACTGGCACCAGCTGAAACGACCTACTTTTATCTGGTCCTGTCCTCATTCAGCTACCACTTGTCACTCACCTCTGACACATACAGCATAACAACATGGAGAACTTTCTTGTGAAGGCTCGTCCCCATAAATAGAACCTATCTTTTCTTCTTACTTTTTGTTCTGATCTTGGCAGGTGACCTTGGTAGGTACCCTTGACAGGTAACTAAATTTCATTTATGTGTCGACATTTTTACTAGTGAGTTGGTACTATATGTGTTAAAAACTTGGCTCAGAGACCTACATGTGTGCCTTTGAGATTCTGGAGGCTTCCTGGGAGGCAGAGGGCAACCAGGCCTCCTCTCTGGCTTGTTACTCAGTAGTCTTTCAGTAATCTCTATAAACCCGAATTCTCTTAAGGTATTTTAGAATAAGACATCATCTTTGCCCTCAAAGAGTTTGCATCTTAATTTTGGAGATATGCATCATATATGACTAGAATTTGCAGCCTGGCTATTAACACAGACAAAATATTAAATGCACATCCATACTTTTTTTCCCTTTTTTAATTGCAGAAACCAAAAACAAATATTCTATATCTTTCTGAATGGACCCAAAGCAGTCCTGAAACCACAATGTCTTCCTGAGGTCATGGTGGGAATAGACAGAGGCCTGCCTGGAGTCACTGCCTTCTTGACCACTTCTGCCACATTTCTAGAACAGTTTAATAAGCTTCAAAGCATGATAAAGAAAGCTGCAGAAGAAAATTAACATTAAGAAAAGGGTTCTTTTTATTCTTCTGAAGAAGACAGAGACTTCACCTGCTATTTTGTTCTCTAAAACTATAAGCTAAGGACAACCAAAGAAGACACATAAGTCTCAGTTTTATTTGTATGTGTTAAAATATGTTCTTACCTGGACAGGGTGAATCCTGGTCTTGGTGTTTCCTATTCCTTCCACAGTGGTGATGGCGGCCCCATAAAGAGAGCAGATAGGCACCAGGCAGGCGGCAACAGAGAAGTGACTTCAAAGTTCACACACAGTAGAGCAAGAATAAGTTGCGTAGACCAAAACAGTGTGAGGGGAAAAAAGAAAAAAATAGATGATCATAATTGTAATTACTTTGACATGAGCATAAAGCTGAATCATCACATATAAGATTGTGAATATAAATGTACTACTTAAATATTCTAATTAAGAATTCAATTTTTTTTTTCCATCCAGGCAATCCTGTTACAAATGTAAGAGCAGCCAGGAACTGGTAGCTCATGCCTGTAATCCTAGGTACCGTAGTCAGAAGGTTGAGATCTGAGGATTGAGGTTTGAAGCCAGGCTAGGCAGGAAAGTCTGTGAGACACTTATCTCCAATTAACCGCCAAAATAACCCCGAAAATGGAGCTGTGTCTCCAGAGGTAGTGTGTGTGTGTGTGTGTGTGTGTGTGTGTGTGTGTGTGTGTGTGTGTGTGTGTGTGTAAAATCATGTAATCAGTGGCTTACTCTTCAATACAGGTTACCTGTGATCTTATAAACAGCCCCGAGGGCTGGGGAAGATGTTAAATAAGACCCACCTGTGAGGAAAATCCTTTAATAATTTTACCTATTCCATGAATACAAGTACTTTGTTTGGTTTCCAGTGCTAGGGCAACAGTACATCAGTCGATACTGGTGAGATGAGTAATGGGGACCAGTAGGCTTTTCCTAAATGCTCTGAGCATTCGTGCATGTGAGGTTCAGTGCTCCCCTCGGGAGGACCATGGCAATGAAAGAGTTGAGCCTGGCTCTGAAGTTGGTCATCTCTTCAAGAGGAATACTAGGAAGGAGGGTATTGCAGCAGCCTTCCAAGTTCTCCTGAATGGGGAGTACTTCATAATAAGAATATGGGTTTTAAAAATAGGTTGGCTTGAACTAATGCTTTAATACTCTGTAGTTCTATGACCTTGTTAAAAGAACAAACTCACTTAGAATCTCAGTTTCCTTCATTTGTAAAATGAGGATTCAGAGCAATCTTGTACTTCTTTCTTCAAGTACCAAACATATAAGATTATTCATTTTGGTTCTAGCTCATAAAAACTGAGGTAGCTTAGCATTCTCTACAGAATGGGCTGAGGAAATCCTGTGGGAAATCAACCAGGAGTCAGTGACATGGTTTAGTCTTGGAGGAAGGCTACCTGATCTTCTTGGAGATGGGATCATATCTTGAGATCATCACTGTGCAGGCACCGCAGTTCCCGCCACCACAGCTATCTTTGGTTCCTGTGAGTTGGACTTGGAAGAGTTATGATCAAGGGAAAAAGTGATTTGAACTCTTTCAGATTTCATGCTGAAATTTTCTCACATGGGAAGAATGACTTGTAGATAGTATGCCTTTCTTGAACTATCTTGCTTAACCTACAAATGATTTGGTGCCTGGAGTAAATCAGTCAGAGCTCAACTATTACATATCCTAGGAACTCACGGATGACAGCCACCTGTCATTTGGAAACTACTTTGCAAGTTTGAAATCTGAGTCACTGCTGCATTGGAAAGACTTCAGGTCAGTGTCCTCATCATTTTAATTCATGCAAAATCTGAAGAGAGAACATCCAAGAGGCATGCCAATGATTGAGAACGGAAAATTTCCAGTATAATTGGAGATTCTACATTATTTATTTTAATGAGGGAAACATGTAATATTTGGAAAAGAATGGAATACAATTTGCAGTACATGGGCTGAAAAAAAGGGAGAAAAAACTATAGTCATCTGACACAAAAATGTTCTTTCAGTTTATCCTTAAATTGGCAATGAGGAAGACACAGGGATGTAGTTAATAAGCAATGGTATGTCAGAAATACCCCAGTGCTACCACAGTACCTTGTCCATTGATATGAGTCTTAACCCGAAAAGTAGAGAGTGTACAGAGCTGGATATGGTGGCTATTAACTATAATCCCAGCTATATGGCACTTGTTGATAATCAGATACAGATTCTAGGCCAGTTTGGGCAAAGTTAATGAGACCCTATCACAAAGAACAGGTGAACAGGTGTGGTGGGAAGAAGAAGAAGAAGAAGGAGGAGGAGGAGGAGGAGGAGGACGACGAAGAGGAGGAGGAAGTGGTAGGTGGCATACATCTGTTAACCCAGTTACTGCTGAGGCCTAGGAATGCCTAGGAAACAGCATTGAAGTCTGGGGCCAACCCTAGGCAAAAGTGTGAGGCCAAGTTAAATGTAATGCTGACCAAGAAACAAATAGCTCTATAAGCTGCCATTTCTCAGAATGATTTAGGGATCCTGACAGTGGAAAAATCCAGTTTAAGTAACATCCCCAGGTGATCATTGTCTTGGTTTAAACAGAAAGATCTTGTGATAGCCCATCCCCTTTGTGAGACACGCAATCTACTTGATTCCACTCCTACAAAATAAAAATGTTTGCAATGAAGCATACTGTAAGGCAGCAGTTGGATAAAGTCAAAGGAAGGCATCATTTTCAGAGTCATAAAATGTACTTTGTTTTCTCAAACAAACAAAAGGATACGAGTTTTTCTCAGATAGAACAATAAGTTCACCTCAGGGTCTGCATTCTTCTCGATGACCTGTACAAAGGAAATGATTATAGATTGATGCAATTTTCCTGGGGCCTACTATGAGTTCTGAGTAGTTAAAAAATCACTTAGTATATGTTCGTTGATCATGTCTGCCTGGCTTGACCAAACACTGCTGTTTTCAATTATGAAATTATGTAACACTGTATTATCTTCAAGTTTATTTTGGTAGGACAAGTGTTTGGCTTTGTTTCAAAGGATATCCAACAAGATGGCATATTAACACAGCATTAGTTTCAGGAAAATAATTTTTAAAAAGCATGAAATATTGTAGAGTTATACAGAATTTTTGGTCTTGAACCCATGCATGGATCAAAGCTATGGAAAACTGGACTGAGGTTTTAAACCTTATCACCATCTGCAAAACCCACTCTTTGAAAACCTACAGTTTTTGAAAAGTTTAATAAACAAGATCATGGCATCAGTAGACAAATAGCATTCTTTCAGCCACTAGCACTCCAATTTAGTGCAGGGCTCCTCAGGAGATGGAGAACAGGGAAAAGGGCTATATATTTTAGGAGTTGACAGATAAAAGCCAAGCAACCCTTTCCCACCAATATTTGTTCACTCAGTAATCTTGGTACATTGTGTGACTATGCTCAGCATTTACATTTTTTCACACCTGCATTCACAGTACACAATACACAGTGCCATTAAGCTCAGTTCGAACTTTATCCTTTCTTCTCTGCTAATAGTGATGAAAATAAGAATATTGGGTTGCAAGTCACACACAATGTCAAGGTCAGTGGGAAGTAAAGAGTACATGCCAGTCTTGGATTATGCCTTAGCTCAATCTGAAGAATGCAAGACAAAGTAGGACCAGAAAGGAGCAAAGGTATTACTATGAAAACGGAGAGCTTTCTCTCTAGCTTTCTCATAGGTTTTCTCTTCTAGTGTTTGGCTACTCAAACTCGAACAATTACTTGCAAATAATTTGAAGACTTTAGAGGCGTGTGTGTGTGTGTGTGTGTGTGTGTGTGTGCGTGTGTGTGTGTGCGTGTGTGTGTGTGCGTGCGTGTGAGCACATGCGTGTGAGCACATGCAGTGGTAGGGAATCAGAGCTGGGGGAGGAGGAAGGGAAGAGGAAAGACACAGAGAATCCTAATAAAGAGAAACTGGTACCTAACACTTGGATGAATTCAAATGCAATTACACAATGTAGTTTTAAGATGTCAACTTAATCAGATGTTTTTCCTTGTAGCCATTCTAGTACATTTTACATGCATTACAGTCTCTCTTTCTGCCTCTTCCTCTCTCTCTCTCTCTGTCCCTCCCTCTCTCTCAACAACTAGAAATACAGATTGTTATTAGTTATTATCTAATGGAGAAAATCACTTTTCACATACTACTCATCTGCATGAAATATTTTCTTTGGCAAAGTTAATAAAAGTCTACTTCAACCAGAGTTTCATTGCATTCATAATTTGAGTAATAACAATGGAAAAAACTTACTTTTCTTCCATTCACAAAGAAAATAAGTTCATCTGTCTCCTTAGACCGAGGCATTCTACCAGGGCAGTTGGCTGAGGTTTGGAAGGTTGTGTCGATGAAGGACGGTGATTTAGGTCAGCTTTCTGAGCGTGCTCCTTCAATCCAGGCCTGCTTTTATGCTTCCAGTCTCCTCCCTCTGCTCTAGCACTGCCCTCTTTCTCAAGCCACTTTGGAAATTCAGTCTTTAGTTCTTCCTGCTCTAAGGACAACCCACTGGAATGAACTTTGCAGCAAGAAGAACCTTCTGTAGTCAGTGAAATGAAACTGAATTATGCAAACACACTGCATGCAGATTGAGTTTCTGGATGTTTGTATGTACTTGTTTGCTTGTTTGACTTTGAATTATAGAAAGAGTAAGCCAGGCACCTGTGGCTCATGCCTGAATTCCTAGCTACTCAGGAGGCTGAGAACTAAGGATTGTGGTTCAAAGTCAGCCCAGGGAAGGAAAGTCTGTGAGCCTCTTATCTCCAACAAACTACTCAGAAAAAGACTGCAGTGGCATTGTGGTTCAAGGGGTAGAGCACTAGCTTTGAGCTCAAAGAGGCTCAGGGACAAGTGCTCAGGCCTTAAGTTGAAGCCTATCACTGGCCAAAAAAAAGGAAGTTTATTGAGAAAACCTAAACAACACAGAAGTATGAAGTAAAAATAAAAGCATGAAGTAAAAGTCCAGCAAGCTAAAGTTTTTCAGTTAACTATTACCAGGTTCCTGTGGAGCCTTATGGACAGCTTTTAATACATGTATCTGTGTACACATGTACACACATACATGCACTGTTTCTGTTAGTTCCTAAAAACTGAGGGGGGACTATTTATAAAATTTCAAAAGTTGCTTTTTACAGGCTTCTTAGGCTCTCTGTATGAGAAGATGTCCATTTTCCTTCCCGTCCTCACCAGCATTGAGCATTACCCACATCATCATTCCTTTTCCCAATAGAGTGATAGTTTGTGATTGGCATTTCTCTTCTTCTCATACTACACATTTTGCACGTATTCATATTTATTCTCTTGTCTTTTGCTTTCTTCTGTTAGGTTTTGTACTTCCTTAGCTATTTGAACATTTTTTATATATAATGGGTATTAACCATCATCTGCTATAAATGGCTAATTATTTCTTGCCATTAGTTGTCTCTGGGATACAACACGGTATAGAGTTCTTCAACTTCAAGTATTATGCACCCTGGAGGCTAAGGTCTCTTAGCAGCAGGGGCATCTTGCCGCAGCTACATAGTCAGAAGGAGCCTGGGCTGCTGCCCATGAATGGCCTCCACCTGTCACATCAACACTTTTCGAACCCCTATGTCAGCTGTTGTGACCAAAGACAGGCTGACAAATAGTCAGGCTACTTTTTATTGGTTGTTTGGCATCTCTAATTATAGGTGTGTTAGCTGAGTGCTAACCTGTGGTGTAAAACTGCTTACAGATCAGGCCGACTCGCATACACCTGTTCATGTGACTCGTGCCCCCACACTCCCAATCTTTCCCTTACATTCTCCTGACCACCTGGTCAAATCATTTGTTGTGCCATGAATATTGTAAGCTTGGACCTCTCTTTCCCACAGAAACTGGATAACCACACACATGCGCTCATGCCACTTGCTTGCTTGCTCCTTGCATTCCTGCTTGAGCTCAACTCTGGATATTCCACCCATCTCACTGCTTCTGCATTTGCAGGCTCTATGGCTTGCACTTTAACACAAGCCTCCATTGTCTTCCATACATGTAACACAGAGAAGCATTGCATGCTAGCACAAAGGCAAATAGAGGGATGCAAGCGAAAGCATCCTATAGGCAGAGAACAGAAGCAAAGGCTCCTAAGTGAGAAGTCCAGGAAGTTCAGATGGTAGAGAAGATGCTGAGACAAAATGGAGAGAAAGGCAGGAGCGGGACCACCCAGCACACATACTTTGGAACTTAGGAACGTGGGACACGATCCTGGTGGGATGAGTGGAAAGCCATCAAGGGATAAGAACTCAACATAATCATATACGATGTGCATTTGTGTGTGCATGTGTATCCATAAAGTGTGGCTTCACTGGAAGAATGGTTTAAAAGGGACGCACAATATACACAGGAAAGGAAAAGATTATTGTAATTGTCAGGGTGGAGGGAAAAGCAGGTGGCTGGGAGTAACAGCACTGATGGAAATAGTGGAACCTCCCAGCTAAGAAAAGTCCAGGACCAGATGGTTTTACAGCGGAATTTTACAAGGCCTTCAAAGCAGAGCTCACACCAATACTCCTCCAACTCTTCAATGAAATTGAAAGAGAAAGCTCACTACCGAACACATTCTATGAAGCCATCATAACCCTCATCACAAAACCAGGCAGGGACTCATCAAAGAAAGAGAACTATAGACCCATTTCTTTGATGAATATTGATGCAAAACTTCTCAACAAAATTTTGGCCAATCAACTTCAACAATTCATCCAAAAAATCATACACCACGATCAAACAGGATTCATTTCAGGGATGCAAAGCTGGTTCAATATACGCAAATCAATTAATATTATTCATCACATCAACAGGAGCAAGAATAAGAACCACATGGTTATCTCAATAGATGCAGACAAAGCATTCGACAAGATCCAACACCCCTTCATGATGAAGGTTTTGGAAAAATTAGGAATCCATGGAACATTCCTCAATACAATAAAGGCTATATATGACAAACCTACAGCCAGCATTATACTCAATGGTGAAAAACTAAAGCCATTTCCTCTTAACTCAGGAACAAGACAGGATGGCCACTCTCTCCACTTCTCTTCAATGTAGTATTAGAATGCCTAGCTACAGCAATAAGACAAGATGCAGACATAAAGGGGATCCAAATAGGGAAAGAAGAAATAAAACTCTCCCTCTTTGCAGATGACATGATCTTGTATTTAAAGAATCCCATAGACTCCACTCCCAAATTACTCAAGCTGATTCAAAACTTTGGCAAAGTAGCAGGTTATAAAATTAACCCCTCAAAATCAATGGCTTTTCTGTATGCCAACAATGAGAAAAGTGTGGCTGAAATTAGGAAAACAACTCCATTTGTAATAGCCCCACAAAAAATAAAATACCTAGGAATTAACTTAACTAAAGAAGTGAAGGACCTCTATGATGAAAACTTTAAAATCTTGAAAAAGGAAATCAACACAGAACTAAAAAAATGGCAAAGCCTCCCATGCTCCTGGATTGGAAAGATTAACATCGTGAAAATGGCAATACTTCCCAAGGCTATCTACAAATTAAACGCAATACCAATCAAAATTCCACCCTCATTCTTCAAGGAAATAGAAGAGGTAATCCAAAAATTCATATGGAACAATAAAAGACCCCGAATAGCAAAAACGCTCCTCAACGGAAAGAACACTGCTGGAGGAATATCAATACCAAATTTCAAACTCTACTATAAAGCTATAGTAATCAAAACAGCTTGGTATTGGCATAAGAACAGACCTCAGGACCAATGGAATAGAATTGAAAACCCAGAAATGAACCTATAGACCTATAGCCATCTAATCTTCGATAAGGGAGCTAAAACAATAGAATGGAAGACAGACAGCCTCTTCAGTAAATGGTGCTGGCAAAACTGGTTAACTACATGTAGAAAACTAAAGCTAGATCCTTATATATCACCCTGCACCAGAATCAACTCCAAATGGATCAAAGACCTTGAAGTCAAAGCAGACACTCTGAAAACATTACAGGATGGAATAGGAGAAACCCTAGGTCTCCTTGGCTCAGGCCGAAATTTTTTGAATAGAGACCCGGAAACACAACAAATCAAAGAAAGGTTGGACAAATGGGATTGCATAAAGTTGCAGAGCTTCTGCAGGGCAAATGACATAGCTAGCAAGATCAATAGAAAGCCCACGGATTGGGAGAAGATCTTTACTAGCCATACAACGGACAAGGGTCTCATATCTAAAATATACTTGGAACTCAAAAAATTAAACCCCCCAACAACAAATCCTCAAAGAAACAACTGCCCAATAAATAAGTGGGCGAAAGACTTAAAGAGAAACTTCTCTGAAGAAGAAAGAAGGATGGCCAATAGACACATGAAGAAATGTTCAACATCCCTAGCCATAAAAGAAATGCAAATCAAAACAACATTGAGATATCACCTCACCCCAGTTAGAACGGCAAAAATCAAGAACTCTAACAACAACAGATGCTCTAGGGGATGTGGACAGAAAGGAACCTTACTTCATTGTTGGTGGGAATGTAAACTTGTTCAACCACTTTGGAAAACAGTATGGAGGTTCCTCAAAAGACTTCACATAGAACTCCCCTATGACCCAGCAATCCCACTTTTGGGCATTTACCCAAATGTTTACAAACAAGACCACACTAAAGCTACCAGCACAACAATGTTTATTGCAGCATTATTTACCATAGCTAAAATATGGAACCAACCCAGATGCCCCTCAGTAGATGAATGGATCAAGAAAATGTGGTATATATACACAATGGAATTCTATGCCTCCATCAGAAGGAATGACATTGCCCCATTTGTTAGGAAATGGAAAAACTTGGAAAAAATTATATTAAGTGAAGTAAGCCAGGCCCAAAGAAACATAGGTCCCATGGTTTCCCTTATTTGCAATATCTAGTATATGTATGAGTCAAGTGGAAAAGGTCAGATAATGTGATGTCAGGAAAATGAACCCTTAGATATGTATTTTAATGTTTTTTTTCTTTCATGCATGTGTTTCTAATGCATTTAAAGATTATCTCTTTGTTGCTTTGTATGTCCCTCCCCCACAGTATAACCCCTGCTTTCACTATATTTGATGTCAGTATAACTTGTGGAGGAGATGGGGACCTGTTGCAACAATGAGAAGTACAAGTTGACATGTCCAAAACGAGCTTTACAACGTCGGTGCGGGGGGGGGGGGGGGAAGGGGGGGAAGGAGAAGGATTGGGATTGGGGGGGAGGGGGGAGGCTGGGAAGGGATGTGAAGGGTAAACCAAAGGAGGAGGCTGCAATGCTTGGTAAGAAATGTGCGCATTATCCTGCCCATGTAATTGTAACCCCTCTGTACAGTATGTTCACAAATAAAATAAAATTAAATTT